TACCTGAGCAGATGACAGCAGCGTCTAGAAAATGGTAACAGTTGTGTACTCCCAGGCCTGGGGATGAACAATTCAATAGAGATGATTCATTTCCAATACAGTTCACATTGTCTAAAAATATGGGACCAGATCCTTGGCCAAATGGTGCATACTGGAGTGCAGACAAAGCTCTTCCACAGCCCAGCTCTCTGCACACAACACTGGCATCTGCCATATCCCAGTAATCACTACACACTGTGCCCCAGTAGCCTCCTACATAGACTTCCACTCTCCCAGAGCAGTTGTTGGCTCCATTCACCAGCCTGACTCGTGTTTCATCTGTGAAGGGGAAAAGAAGGACAGACAGGACAATGAAGTGTTTTCTGATAAATCATACTGATAAAGCTGTATGTAGGGTGTTTCAGTTGAAAAGCCCACTGCCTTTGTATCTAGAAAATTATCAACAAATACACTGAATCATGGATCAACCTAGTTCACCTGGGAAGAAGAAAACTGGACAGGACTTCACTGGCAAAAATCAATGGTGGATATTTGCAGTAGGCTAAGTTGATGATTTTGTCTGAACTGCATCATGTGCTGATGTTCTAATACTTGTGCTCATGTTTAAACTTAAGTTTAAATCATACAGTGATGTAAATTTACAGCTGTTATTTCAATGCTATGGAATGTGTGTCTTTGTAAGTATGCACCTGCTAAATAATGTTTGGGAAGTTAAATAATAAAATATACAAAGTTTTGCCAGATAATTTTTTATTTTATCAGCAGTAGATAATTATGTATTATAACTTTTATTCAGAGAAAGATTGTTAGAGTTAAGAGCAGTTGGTCAGTTAATGTTCATTATGTTTAGTTAACACAGAGATAACAACCAAAAGAGGTAATTCCTTTTATAATTATGTGTTCAATAAGATAGTTAAATTGAAATGATTGGATTGTCTGTAATTTTTCAAATGATAAAATATTATCTAAAGCAATTTACTATTAATTACAGTTGCATTTAATAATAGCTAAAACTAAGAAGTTCCAGTTTTGTTTAAAAAAATTTACATTGGAAGATACAGTACCATGAAAGTTTTCCAATGTAGGCATTAGAGAATAAAACTTGGTATTTCATGACATTCCATCTGATTTTAAAAAGTAACTTTAATTATAATAAAAGTATGCATACATATTGACCTACGAAAGCTCTACTAAAAGTTCATAGGGTCATACAGAGACATCTTTGTTCACCATTAATATCTTAAAGAATTTATCAAGTCTTCCGAGTTGCTTTAATAACCAGAAAATTTCAGTGTGCATTTCTGTTCCTATTTTTTTACATGCTATCATGAGTGGAAATTTGTCCTTACAATATACTGTAAATGTTATGATCAGAAACAATTTCTGTAAAAGTGAACTCACTGTATTCTGTTGGTCCTGAAAAGAAAAATGAAAACAAATTCAGAAAGAGATGCATACAGTTTATTAAAGAAACAATTCTAAAGTAGCTCCTCCCTGGATTTCTATTGTATCTAATACAGTATATGAACAAAGGATTTCTCTGAGTATTTTAGTAAACCAGTCACGTTTTTTTGTGTAATAGTTCTTGCATGGAATTGTAAATATTTTTAGCTACCTAAAGAACAGATTTTTCTGTCCAAGTGCTTTAATAAGTGAAACAGTGAAACCTTCGTGGGAATTGGAACACTAGATCAATTTTTAGGTTGATTAAATAGCAAACAGTTCTTTAGGTGAAGTGATAAGGTCTTTTAACTCCATATGTAATGTAACAGGATTTCATGTTCTTCTCATGTTGCTTCAAAATAATAGCATCTGAAATGCATGCTTATGTAAACTGTATGCACTGCAATGCACTTCTACTTTACATAAATAAATCCCTGTATACTGTGAGGTGTAGCCTATTAACTATAAACTAGGGATTTTGTCTGAAGTGGACCTTTGAAAAACTGTTTTCAACGTGTTTTTTTTCCCATCACAGATCAACTTTACAACTTCTGTTGTCAAGCAGACAAATGCTGCATGTAAATAAAATAGCATTATGTTATGTTTTAACTGATTTTGATCCTGAAGCAATCCCTTTTTTAAAGTGTAATGTCAAGTCATTCTGGATTTGTAACAGACTGCAACTTTTCTTGTGTTTTTTCCTGAAGGGAATGGTTGGATGGATTGACAGAAACGAAGACGAACAGTGCACATAATAATTCAAAAGAAAGAACTAGGGAGCTTTCCCAATTAAACGGTAAATACAGTATGTTAAGAATTCTAGAAATAGTTTAAAATATGAGAAAGCCTGCATTACAACACAAATGTTATTGAGTATATCTGTTTTCAAGTTCTCTTTGTAATAATGTACCAAAAGCAATAACCTCTATAACTAGACAAAACAGATATTATTAACCACATATGAAAGATCACAAATAAAAAGATGTGTTCCTTTACCTGAGCAGATGACAGCAGCGTCTTCATAGTGACTGCAGTCATGTACTCCTATGCCTGGGTATGAACAGTTTAAAAGTGATGATTCATTTCCAATACAGTTCACATTGTCTAAAAAGATAAGACCAGTGCCCTGACCAAATGCTGCATACTGGAGTGCAGACAAAGCTCTCCCACAGCCCAGCTCTCTGCACACAACACTGGCATCTACTATGTCCCAGTAATCATCACACACTGTGCCCCACTGGCCTGCATTATAGACCTCCACCCTCCCAGAGCAGTTGTTGGCTCCATTCACCAGCCTGACTCGTGTTCCATCTGTGAACGGGAAAATAAGGACAGACAGGACAATTAGGTGTTTCTGATAGATCATATTGTTAAATTCAGATGTAGGTTGTTTTAATTGAAAAAAAAATGAATCATGAAAAATTCTAATATCTTTTATGTTCACAAAATAGATGGAATCACAGAGTAAGTGGAACTTCGACATTTTGTAAACCTATCATGTTATTCCACTCGGGAAGAAGGTAATGGAACATAATTACAGTTTGGAAAAATCAGTAGTGATTTTGAAATTAGGCTAAACAAACAATTTTTTTCTAAACGTGAACATTCACTTCTGTTCTGTTAACGGTAATCATGACTTAATCTTAAAATGAACAGTGATGTAAATTATATAGTGTTACTTAAATGTTAAATTAATTATTTACACAATATACTTGTGTCTTAATAATGATGTTAAACACATAAAATCAGAAACCAAAAAATAAAAACGTACCTTATTTCACAATTTTTGCTTCTAACCATTTTATGGATTCTGATTATTTTTACAAGGTAACACCTGTATAAAAACTAGAGGAAACGTACTTGGTATGTACTTGGCTATGACTTTAATCTCTCTGGCTGCAGATACAATCTTTATTAAATCCATTTCTTAAAATAGTCAAAGATCACAACCCAATGAAACTTTTCCCAGGAATATTTATAGCCATTCCATTTTTTTAGTAAGATGAATTACAGCTATGAGGAGCTTATCTCGGGGGGATAAGATCCAAACGTTAACAAACAGCGGTATTTTCATGCAAACGAAGCTTGTGTAACAATATAGATTTCATGGAAAAATATGTATATTTGATTATTTCGGCACTACCTGAAATACTGTAGCTGTAAAAATAGTGAAAGCCACATTACTTACTGTTGCTAGCTGTTATGCCAAATGACGTGTCTGAAATTAAACAAGAATAGAAAAAAATGAACTGAAGGAAACAAACACCTTCATAAGAACGTTTGTAACATGAATTAAGCAACATTATGAATAAAATTGATCAAAATTATTCAAAGGTCATCATCCATCCATCTTCTAATTCAGTGCCGGGAGCCAGAGTCTATCCCAGCAAGGAACAGGACACCAGTCCATCGCTGGACAGACACACACAGACACAGGCACACTCAAGCCCATTAGGGCCAATTTTCCCAGAAGCCAGTTAACCTACAGTAGGTCAGTTGCAATGGATATAATGATATTGTTCTTTTTCAAACGTTTTTGTGATGAACTATTCAAAGTTTACTTTGTTTTGCAGTTTTGCAAAGTACCGCATGTATTACTAAGAAAACTAAGTTTTCCCTTTAAAGGAGCTAAAGCCTTTAAATGCTTTTATTAAGAACATTATCTGCAGTACATACTGTATGATAGTCTTTAACATGCTTTTTTCTGATTTCCCATCAAATAGAAAAACGAATAAAAATACTTACTGACAAGACACAGCAGAAATAGGGTGCAGAGAGTTTTGGGTACCTGCATTTTAGACAGAAAAATAAGTTACTAATCCTTACTGCTTAAGTTTTTTCAAAAGCAGTAACTACTATAGATGGCCGCCACCCCAAGATTTATTTAACTTCTTATTGCCCTGATCACCAAGTTAAGTTCTGTGTCATCTGCAGATTTGTTAAATAATTTAAGAGATGAATCATACTGATTGTTTGGGGTGTGGTTTAAATTGCAAAAAAATATGAGGAACTTACCTTTCTTTCACAGACGTACTGCAGCATCATCGTTGTATTGTCGGTGAAATACACCCCTTAAAAATCCCCAACCCCAATAGATTTATCTGAAATTACCTTCCATGAGATTTTTTTATTAAGAGAAAAATTAATTCTCCCATAAAAATAGTCTCTGTGTACACAACATTTTCTTTAAGTAATTTTAAATGGATAAGATACTATGTTATATACAAGTCCATTTTTGAATCTTGAACAATGTTTTGTGTCAAATGTAAGAAATGTAGACATGTTTATGACAATAAATTCTAAACATCCAGTGAAGCAGTATCTTCAAAATGAATGTATGGTCAATGGAATCAAATGATTATTGACCCATTGCACTAAGCAGTGGGATCCTCTGGATTCTAATTTTTGTACTAACCACATTCTTAAAAATGTTATTTCAATTTTCCATTTAAAGCATTCTTTTCATCTATCACAAAATGGAATTAAATTGTACTGTAACTAGTGTCAGCCAGGTACCTGTTAACTAATTTCTGTGTTACAGAATTTCCTTTATTTGGGTGAAGGGAAAAACCATAATTGTGTGAGTGCCTAATACATTTCATTCCTGCCTGTGTCTGCCCACCATACACTTATCAACTAGTAAGAGCTGTTTAGACAGAAATGAGGGATCAATAATTAAACAATAAACATACTGTACTCACAAGACACTGCATGTCTTCAAGTTGTTGAAATGATACTCTCGAAGTCTTTGAAACCAAGGACTAAGTGCAGAATCAGGTAAATAAAAGTTTAAGCAAGGACACAGTTTTATTAAAGGAATCAATTAGAACTAACTGCAATTCTTGTCTAAAAAGTAAAATCCTCTTTAACCCTTTTGTACTGATGTAACCTCCTGGTAAGTAATCCAGGCCGGATTTGACAATTAAATTCAAAACGAATATTGGGAAGATTGATGTTAGACATCAGGATATCTTGTTTTTTATTAAAGACTACCATCAATCTAAGGTTCACCTCCTTTGAAAGGCATACAGTAGCGTTACTAATAATGAAATATTGGAAAAAACATGGGGGAATCTTAACAGAACAGGACATTCTACAACTAATACAATAGATATTTCTGAAACTGATGTGGTGTTGTCATGTTGAGTGGTAATGAGTGGAAATGAAAATGCAATTCCATAAGTAAAATCATTTTAGTCTGGATTCATAAGTATACCAGGAATTGACAAACCCAGTATTTGTAAGAGAGCTGTCCAATAGTACTTCATGGCCTGCCATAATTGCTTAGTGGTACTAAGTGAGAACTGTCAAAGACATGGACCCAATTTATCTGACAAATATTCTATTGGGCTGAAATTGATCAATTGTGAAAGGACTCCTTTGTGCTTTCCTAAGCCTTTATTTAAGCACGCCATCTGATTGGGATCAAGATCTCTTTTCAACAAGTGACCTACGTGTTGTGTGCTCAAAGGAAGATCTGTTGAACCTGGTGGTTAGGTAATGTTGGAAAATGAGCTGTTTGTGTCTGCAAGGTTGCACTGACCGTGAAAAGAGGACTGTCCACACACTGTTGGGCAGTGAGGCTGCCATGTACAACAGCAAGTTCAGAAAAGTTATTGTACCCTACTCTATTGCTCCTCCACCAAACAACAGCAGTCCTGTACAAAAGGTCGTCTTTGATGTCAATAAACAGAAATGTCCATCAGCAATAATTAGATTAAATCTTCATCTTTCAATCTTCTGTCATCAAATGTGCATTTTCTGGCCAATATTACTATGCAAGTCAATATCGAACACTTAGGGTTTAGCCTACAGCACCACAAACCATAGTCTGACACACACACTGATAACATTTACTGTAGCGCTAGCTGATTGATGCCTGTGTTAAAAATAAAAGTTCCAGCCCTGTCTTGCTCAGGTGACAAGTGGTGACTTATGAGTTACCAAGAAGGACTATTTCTAAAAGTACCAGATGGATGACATAGTGTATATTTAGAGACAGATGCTGGGTGGACTGTAAGACATCAGGAAACCATGCTGCTGCCACAATTCTACATCCCAGGTGTCTTTTTTTTCTCTCTGCAATTGTCATTTATCATTCCAGGAGATACAGATAAGCCCAATTAGTTAACTGAGACTTAGAGGCCAAAGGACTACCAATCTGGCCTTATGAAAAATATGGTCTGTAACCTGGAAACCAATCAAGGGGAACCTCATGACAACTAATGCAGAAAAAAAATACTTTCAAATATTCCAAAAACGATAAAATGTGCATTTCTGACAAATTTGCACACATTTTAAACTGGTTCCCTTATGAAAGAGACTGAACAGTGTTGAAGTGTGACAAGGTGGTCTTTGTTCCCTCATTAATTTAACAAAACCTGACACAAAGGTACAGTATATTTACTAGCATTTGAATTAATTCATTTAAGTGGATGTGAAAAACAAGTAGAAAGGAAATGAAAAACACAATAGTACAAAACAGAATGAAGGCCATGATTAAAAACAACAAAACCCTGCAGTCCATGCTCAGTCTGGTCTCTGAACAAAAACAATCAAACAAACACAAAAACACTTCATACATACAGAAACGATTTAACATGAAAAGAAACAAGTAATAGGTTTGTTCCATGCTGAAAAGAGAAGAATGAAAACACAACGTTTTGGCTGTGGACCTTCAAACTATTTAACATGTACTGTATATTTTGTATATTTGAAATAAAAAGTGTGAGGTGTTAAGAACTACCTCTACAATGTCCTTAACATTAACTAAGGAGTGCCAACACTGTATTTTTCCATTTTGCATTTCATTTTCCTACAGGAGCTGTATATTTTCATTTTATGAAACAGTTAAGATTAGAATTAAAAAAAGTTCAAATTCTAAATAGCCAATATAGATACAAGATACTATTTAAAAGGGGCGAACAACAGTTCAGAAAGGGTGCAGACCTTCTTGGTCTCTTACTTTTCTTCTATTTAAGTCTGGATAAGGGTTAAAGGTGTCCAACTGAGCATAACACTTGTTCAGTAACAGAAGCCTCTGACCCTAAAGTAAATGAGTGTACTGAGCTTCATGTTAATTTATCAAATGTATATGAAATTTTTATGTATTGCACTGTCACATTAAATCTGTCAGTAAACTTTAATACATTTAATAAATTCCTTCAGCTTAATTGTTTTTGATACAGCCTAATTTATTGACAGACTCCAAACATCAGCATTGTGAAAAACCTTTGTATGAAATTTGTGAAATAAATTAAACTATACCCAAGACATCTAACAGCATTTGGATCTATGGAGCAATAAGATAAATTATACATTTGTAGAAGCTTTAAATTGAGTAAAAAGTGTTTCCTAGGATCTGATGTTAACACTTTAAATTTACTGTACATTATATTAACTAGGGCCACACTGTGGCACAGTGGTTAGCATTGGTGCCTCACAGTGCTCCCAGAGGGTAATCATTTGTTGTAGTTTTATAGTTGGAACTGTGGTTGGCTCAAGTATGCCTGAATTAAGCACTAATTCTTTTGTTTTCTTGGCATTCATTTCCAAAGTAAGAATTAATACTTTTTCAAAGTACAGTGTTTGGTCTGTACTTTCTATTCCTTGCAAGAGGCCAAACAAGTACTGTATATCTTCAGCATACTTAAGCAAGCTAAATACACCATTACTGATCTGCATTTAATTTGTATAGATCAAAAACATGCTTGTGGTGCAGCATTCATTAGAGCCATTTCTTATACCATTCATAACGACTCGTTGTGATTGATTATTAAGGACATTCTTCACCCATTGTATGAGTCCAACATTCACCTCCAAATCAAGAAGAGGATGTGACCAAGGGCTATGTTGTTCTATCCAACTGAGACATCAACAACCCCTTTCAGTCAGCTTAAAAGGTACAGTATGTGATCAGTATCGAAGATACAATAGAATGTGTTCAGATCATTAACGGAAGACATTTTTATATCGGGGATGTTTTCTTGAGTCTTTCTTTCTCCTTTCTTCCGCATCATAGTACTTACGCCTTCCTATGCATGTTTAATATTTCCAGAACAGAAACTTTGTTCATTTTTTTTTAAGTCAAGTTCTGCATGTCACACTTGATCCTGCTCTGTCTTTTGAGCCCCATGTGAAATCCTATTAAGACTTCTTTTTTTCACCTTAGAAATATTGCCCACATTAAGCAATTTCTTTCATTGTCTGACGCTGCATGCCTGATGCATGCTTTCATAATATCAAGGCTTGATTTCTGCAACTCCTAACTTTATGGACTCCCCAACACTCTTCTCAACAAGTTGCAATACTCTACAAAACTCTACAGCTAGACTACTAACACACACCAGCTCTTGGGATCATATCACTCCTACACATTAGTCTCCACATTGGTTGACTATAGAGTCACTTATTCAATGTAAGATCTTGTTAGAGACTTTCAAAGCTCTAAGTAATCTGGCTACATCATACATCTCTGAACTCTTCATTGTTTACATTCCCCTCTGTAGGCTCTGTTCAGTTGAGGCTGGTCCTCTACTTGCTGTATTTGGTACTAAATCTTGGACTTTTAGTGAGCATGGCTTTTCTTTAACTGCTTAATTGCTATGGAATTCCCTTCCTCAGTCCATATGAGAGAGAAATTATTTGACGCTTCAAATCCAAACTCAAAACCCAACTTATTACATGTCAGATTGCCCTACACTCTATCTACAGTATATACTGTACAGTACAGTAAACCTGAACACTCTAGTTTATTTTTCTAACTTTTAATTGTGCTTTTTCTTTATCACTATGTATACTGTCCTTGGGTTTTGAAAAGGTACTTTATTAAAACATATTTATTTTATTATTAGAAAGGTTTGCTTTCTTTATTTTGTCTAAATTATTTTTCTTTTTCCCTAACAATGTCAGTTTCACATCTTAGAAAAGCATGTTTCTTTTCAGTTCTTCAGGCATGTATTCAACTCTAGCTATGACAACCATGGCTTGTTTCAACAAAACAACTTTCACAAAATTGGATGTAGAAGGTAATAGTATCAGTCAGTTAACTTATATCAGAGCAATAATCAAAATATATTTGCCACTCCATATGATCAAAACTGAAACTAAAATCTTACAATCATCTCAATTTTACAGGTAGCCAATGGTGCAAAGCCACAACAGGAGTCACATACAGTAGCTTTGTCACTTTGTTTTAATAAGAACACAACTGTCACATTTAATGTTGTCTGCATCTTATTAGATCAAATGTGTTACCTGTAATTTAAACTTAAACTTTGGTTTTAGAAATCCAAATACAGGCAGAAACATAGTAAGACGTCACAGCAACAAAGTCACTAATAACATATTTGACCCATGTCAACATCTACAGTACTCTGTATACAAGAACCTATTATTTTATTGCATGTTTAGACACACCATCCTTATCACAAAAGCTTTGTGCTTGTAGCATTAATTTCACCAAAGAGGAATTGAAAACAAGCATAGGAAATCCATAAATACTGGTTTAAAAGAATAAATGTATTGATATTTGTTGTGGGAAAAAAGGAACTGGATTGTTGTTCAAACAATTAAAGGGATCAGTGCTTAAAGTGTACTTCATGATTTTGTGTGGCAAATTTTCAGAAAGACTTCAGATACTGAATGGTACTTTCCACATCAAAACATCTTTTCATTCAAAATCACAAGGAACAAGCTGAAATGAAAATGCCTTAAAGGTATTTATAAATACAATTAGTTATGTGACCATCCTTAACAAGAAATAAAAAACATTTCATGCCATTTTACTACTCAGTAAATTAAGTAAACAAGCTACAAGGCAACACATTTTACTCTTGTAAAAGGTGCATAATAAATAGACACTTGTGTTCCATCAAATGTTACTGAAACAGTAGTTTTATTTAGTCTAATAAACTAATATATTTTTGGAAAATGTAATGTTTTAAGTGTTATGCATTTATATTGTTGATATTAAGTATGCACTGCTTACTTGAAACATTCTAATTTAATTTTATCTCTTTCAAAACAGTGGTGTAAATAACTGCATTTCAATGAAGGCAGATTTCTAGATATCCACATTGTACATCAGTTACAGTATTAGCTTTATTCTTGCACATGGGCTTCAACTAGATGCAAATATATACACCACTGTATACAAGCTATTAAAATGTTATACAGCATTTCTAGCTGTGCATACCTTAACAATAAAATGGCAAACTGGAATTTAAATACTTTATATTGATCTAAATATACAGTAGATCAATAGACTTGTATGAACTACAATGCAACAGTCGCTATTCAAAACATTTATTTTAATCTGGCATCTTTAATGTTTTTACTTATCTATTTGCTTTTATAAATGATATATTTTTAAAGCCACTATGTATTTTTATAAATAAAATCTAAAATGAAATTATCTGTTTAGTAATTACTATTTACACACAATTACTAATAATTCTACATACCGTACTGTATGTAATTTAAAAAATGATAATTCTATTAGTGTTAGACTGTATTGTGACATACTGTACCTTAATTGGTTGTGGTAGTAATGCAGTAACAACATTCTGTCTCAACAATGTAATCATTGCTTTCAGTTAAACTACCGCTGATATGCATATAGTATAATTATCAGAGCAAAACTCTAATGGGTTAATAAACACAATACACTTTATGACACTGCACTCTATGATGCAATGCACTCTATGACACTGTGGTGACTACCACTATACAGTATACCTTCTGACATCTAGTGCATTCTACACGGCTGTATCTACAATATATATATATATATCACGATCATAAACCCCTCCTCTTAAGGACACTCTAGCCCTACCTTTTTTATAATCATCTCCAGCACCTGCCTCCAGTTCCAGCCCCCTGTGTTATATAAACCAGACGTTCCTGCCTATCGGGGCTCAGCTTTGGAAGATGGACGCCCGGAAGCCTGCGTACCCGCGAGTCCAGGAGCGACTCGACGGCATAGGCTTCACTAAGGCATCCTGACCATCTGGGTCCAGGATCAGGGAGCGCCCCTTACACCCTTTTTATTCCCCCGACCCTCCGCTGAATCCCGCTCTGGATTTTCTCTCTTTTGTGCATCTGTCAGGATGGATTACCCAGCTTTGGACTTTTGCTTCATTCATGGATTTGCCTCAGACTCCCTTGGACTGTTTGCCTCGGCCACACCTCCCCGGAACACTAGCATACACTGGACATGCCACCTGTTTTCCTTCCAGCCCCTAGCATGCCTATTTCCCCGTGTATTCCTCACTTCCTCTCTGGATCGTGTTGTCTGCATAGGCCCCTGAAAGAACTGTTCGTGACAATATATTGATAAAATTGAATTTTTAGGTAATATTTTAATGATTCATTCAGTAAATGACCCACTCATCAGTTGTGTCAGTGTGCATGTTTAAATGAAATAACTTCAAAAATGTCAATGCTTTAGAATCAAGTTTAATGTAAGTTTTTAAGACGGTGAAAATACTTTGATTGGCTTCTGAAGAATAAATGCTGTTACATCTTTTATATATATCTTTCATATGACCTCTTTCAGGACATGAAAGAAAAAATACAACATGATATTAATAACTTTTTTATCCACTGTAAAACTATTTCTGTTTTTCAATGGACAGTTTAGCTAAAATTCTAAAAATACTCCATACTTAAGAGAAAATATTATTATATTGATTGCACTTTTCCATAAGTAATGAAAGAAATGAGAAGGTTTCTGGGTTCAGTAAGTCAGCTTCTTTGATCTAAAAAGTAGAAAAGGTGCCAGTTATATTATTTTAAATAAGAAAAATGTTTACATCAAAAAATGAACACAGGTTTATTTAAACAATTTAAATTTGATTAAAAATATGGTGCCATTATCCTGTTTGTAATAAGCATATCTAATGTAATGAGGAGGCAAAAGTATAGGTTAAAGTTTTTTCCCCATCTGTAGTTATGAGTGACAATATACTTTGAAGAACTTGGATATTCCTGCCAGTTTACTTGTCATGTTTAAAGTATGTTTCATCTTATACTTACTAAGCAGAGCTGTAGAATGTTTGAACACCATCATTTAATTCATGCTCCTAGAAAATGAAAGAAATACTCTCAGCAAAATAGTGACTAAGCTTTACAGTTTTACGGTTTCAGATGTTTTACAATTTTACTGCCTAGGTTTATTTTCATTTGACCCTGGTTTAAACAATTCTCTCTGACATACTTATGCATATCCAAACTGAAGCTCTTGTTGAGCTCATAAACAATAAATCAATCAATTCCCTTAAATATTGAAGATATTTGCACTCACCTATTCTAAAAAGGAAAAAGATGGATGATTCTAAAATGTCACAATAACATTTAGAAATGGATTGATGAAAACATACCTGAACAGACCGCTCCAGCATCATCACTGTGGGCACAGTTATGGACTCCAAAGCCCCTGTTTCCACACTGCAGCAGTGAGGTCTCCGAGCCAGTGCACGAAACGTCATCCAGCCAAATGTGGCCCGTGCCTTGCCCAAAGGTGGCAGCTCCAGGGGCTAATAAGGCATGTCCACAGCCCAGCTCCCTGCAGACCACCTGAGCGGTGTCCACATTCCATGCGTGGTCACACACCGTCCCCCACACTCCCGAATGATACACCTCCACTCTCCCATTGCACCTGTCACTGCCCCCCACCAGCCTGACGTATACTGGGCCTGGGAATCAGGTTAAAACAGACATAAGAGAGATATAGTGAAGGTTGGGAATCAAGGTGAAAAAAAAAAGAACAGTAAAGCAAGGACTGTTGCTAACCTTCCATAATGAGTAGATATACAGTTCTGTCCTGTTTTGTTCATTGCCATAACAGATACAGTAAATAAAGCAGAGCCTATAGCTTGCAAACCACAGAACTAACTTATATACTGTATTTTTCCCCACTTGCTGTTAAAACCTGTCAAACAGTGAGAACTGAACTGATACACCAGCAGTGTTTTTCTTACCCTGAGGGTTATCCCCTACCTGAACAAACCACACTGGCGTCCTCGAGATGGTGACAGTTATGCAGGCCCAGTTGTGTCGCTCTGCAGTTGAACAGCGAGGTCTCGTTCCCCAGACACTGAACGTCGTCCAGCATTATAAGGCCGATGCCCATTCCAAACTCTGCGAAGCCTGGAGCCGACAAGCCCCTCCCACAGCCCACCTCCCCACACACGACGTGAGCGTCGTTCAGGCCCCAGCTGTCGTCACACACAGTCCCCCACTGGCCGGCATAGTAAACCTCTACTCGCCCTGAGCAGCTGGAATTCCCATTGACCAGGCGGACTCTGGGGCCAGCTGGGATTCAACACAAGGGATAATACAAAGAATGAACTAGCTTAATACTCACTGGATTTTGCTAAGTATATGAAGTTAATTCACAATTTCTTCAGGTCAAACTGTGCTCATTTTGAAGCACAGGTCTAAAAGTATAAAAGTAAAAAAAAAAAGTTAAAGCTGTGCAGTTGCTGTCTTGTGTTGAGGTATTTGTTTTACTATAAATACTGTATACTATGAAAGGCTCAGTAATATTGATATTAAAAATGCTTGTTCAAAACATTCTGCATTTATCTAGCATTTTCAAACTATATAGATCAGTAGTTCTCAATCCTTCACGGAACCTTACAAAGCCCCTCCACAGCTTGCTAACCCTTATTTCTGAATGAAGGGTTCTTACTAGCTCGTCAGTGGATGATGAACTGACATGGGTAAGAATGATAGGGTATCAGAAGATCTTTAGGTCTGTAAAAGTCCAATTAGTGCAGGCAAAAAGGGGATTTTATATTCTGAAAATATAGAGAGACATCATGCAAAGAAATGAATGTATGCGGATTAAGAACAAGCTAGTGTACATGAAACATATAAGGGGTGATTTCCTAAACTGGGGTAAGGTAACTAATGGAGTATTACAGAAATCTATTTTAGGACCCCAATTTATTTAGATTCTGGTATAGTGTGCAAAATAATCAGTTAAGAGATGATATCAAACTAAGAAGAACAGCAAATACTACAGAAGCTGTAAAAGGAATTCAAAAAACATTTAGATGGAGTTCAAGACTGTCAAACATCTGGCAGATGACATTCAATGTAGAAAACTGCAGAGTGCAATATTCACATAGAAAAAAGATATAATTGAACAATGAGCTTGAAGAATCAATTTATGCAAAAGAGTTAAGTGTTTTCGTTAACAACATTTATGTGCTCTTAACAATATAGAAAAACAATAAAAAGGCGAAGAGAGTGATAGAATATAGTGCTGAATTTAAATCAATGGATGCTATGTGAAAAATGTACCGTATAATATCATATCCAAATGTGACCTCATTCGAAATAATTTGTAGGACTTATTTGAGGGTACGAAAAGATATTCTGGAATCAGTCCAAACATTTCCAAGCCTAAGGAATCATCTACTGACAGGCTAAAAATCAAGAATCTCAGCCTTTTAGTTTTGTACAAAGACTATATGGGTAAGAGTCAAGAGTGAGGGAATCAAATGTTCTAAGATTGTGGAACAAGATACAAAGGCACTGACAAAATCGCCCCAGCATTTAACAAGTATGAAACAAGCTAACCAGCCACATTGTTGAAGCCAATACCCTGGCTTCTTTAATCAAGCACCTGGAAGATAATCAATTGAATCAATCTACTAGAGAAAAAATTAGAAGGATGAGTGAAATGCTATCCTTTTTTCTTACATTCATTTCTCTTCTTTATGTTATTTTCTCTTCAGTCTTAAGAAGCTTTAGCAGAAATTTTGGTGTGTCACAATAAAGTAAAGAGAAACAAAAAAGTAAATGTGTAAAATGTATAAAACGTTCTTTCTCCATACATACTGTTTCTATGTGAATCCATCGCAGAATCTATAAAAGATAGAGAGGATTTTATTGATAATGTCATACTTCATAATCTAGGGGTGTCTTTTTGATTTTGGATATGATACATCAGTTATTGTCCATTTAGGCATCTGTTATACCTGAAGAGAAAAAAAATCTATGGACACTTGAAAATACTGAGTTTACTGAAAGTGCAAGATACCATTATTTTGAGTTACGGTTAAACATGAGCATATAAATATTCAATTGATTTTAAAACCCTTTTTGCGAATTGTTTTTCACAAATTGTTATCTTCCAACATACAGGAGAAAGTCACTCATTTTAAAGAAGACAAAAGTATTTGACAATTCTCTGACAGTTTTTGCACTATAACCTCATAAAATAGGTCTTTTAGACAAGTCAGTTAGACCCCCCAGCAAAAACAGTCATACATAAAGATTGATACAGGGAGGACTTTAAAAATGAATAATTTTCTATTGGTGTCTTACTCACATCTGGTCCTTCTAATTTCCCAACAGACATTCAACACAGTACAAGATGTTTACATTCAGTTCCTCCTATACGTTACATTGGATAACTTTTACAGGAGAGTTCCGTTCTTGAAGTGATATTCACCTGATGAAATAAACTAGAGCATTCTCCTGATGCAGTTCTGCGATTGGCTCATTTTGTGACTTCATTTACAATACCCAGTAAAGTCTTACTCAGTAAATGGCTGCATGAGACTTAATTAAGTATTACAGAAGTACATCAAGTAACGTAGATTTACCAGTAAAGGACAACAAATAGAAACCTGCCTGAACACACCACACTGGCATCTTCGAAATGGTAACAGTTGTGGCGGCCCAGGCCAGAGTGTCCACAGTTCAGCAGTGATGTCTCCGACCCAGTGCAGGCCACATCATCCAGAGTGATTGGGCCAGTTCCTTCTCCATAGGCAGCCCAACCAGGGGCAAACAGAGCATAGCCACATCCCAGCTCTTGACAAACAACATGCGCATCTCTGATGTCCCAGTAGTCATCACACACTGTCCCCCACTGGCCATTGTGACGAACCTCCACCCTCCCAGCACACCTGTTATTTCCATTGACCAGTCTGACTGTGGCGCCATCTGGAAATGAGAACAAAGAGATATTCTTCAATCCCGATCTTTGTCAAGGGGTAGACCAGCCTCTTGGGGTTACTGCTGCATTAAAACAGCTAAAGCGAGGTGTTTAACATCACTATTAAAATGACAGAAAGCTCTGTTGGATATTCAAAAGTTTTTCTTGCAAATGAAAAGAATTTCATTATGAAATTAGTTTTCAGTAGCAAGCAGAATTAAAAAACTGCACTACTTCCTTTGTAAATGTAAAAATTAAGATAAAATCTCCACATTCTGAAGCAGCAGTATTTTAAGTAGTATAGACACTACCATTAGTTTCAACATTTTTACACGTGAAGTAAGATTTTTCAGATATGAAGGTTGGAGAATATAATGTCACATGTTTAACAGCTTATCTATCCCAGTAAACCTGCCTAGTAAGAAGCTGTTTTTTTCATGTTACTTGTAATATTAATTTGGTGATTTAGGTAGTAAAGAAAGCATAATAAATACCAGTGATACAAGCATGTACAGTACTGTACCTGAACAGACAACTCCAGCATCTTCGTTGTGTTGGCAGTTGTGAGTTGCCATACCATCAGAAACACAGTTCAGGAGTGATGACTCCATCCCATTACAGTGAACATCATCTAAAAAGATTGGGCCAGTCCCTCTCCCAAATGTGGCTTTTCCTGGGGCAGACAGAGCATCACCACAGCCCAGCTCTTGACAGACCACCTGGGCATCTGACACATCCCAGCCATCATCACACACTGTCCCCCATGTGCCATAATGGTAGACCTCCACTCTTCCAGAGCAATTATTGTTCCCATTGACCAGCCTCACTTTTGTTTTATCTGAGAATAAAAACGAGATAACATCACTATTTACTATTAATCAAGCTGACGCAGTGTGCATTCATCTTTCACTTGCCTCATTATTAGTATTGTGTTAATATTTCCTCCTGGTCCTGGAGTGCCAATTAAGAATTGCAAATATTGCATTAAGTACACACTGACATTACACAGAGGATATCAAATGTCACTGTCTTAATTCCAGATTAGGACAGAAAGTATGCAAACACACCTATCCCTCGATTTATACCCTTAATGCATCCCTGAAACTCCTTCGTACAAAGAATAAATTAAAGACTAAATTACCATTAATTTATATGGGGAAAATGACGATGCATTCCTATGCCTAAAACTTCCACCCATGTTCACCCGTAAATGCTAAAAATACACCTAAAACTTTTATAAGCACTAATTCAAACCAATTATTTTGTGCTTTTTAATAAAAAAAATAATAACTTCCACTATATTGGTACTGTACAGTAAGAGAGACATGACACCTGTTTCCCAAATCAGTTGGTGATACTATAATGATCATATTTCGCTGAATAATTTAAGAAAAAAGTCTTCAAACATTTGGAAACGAATTTAGACAGCTTAAACGCCATACTTATGGAGATGAATGGTAAGTGCTGTAAATAATAACATCTACTGAAATTATTCACGTACTGGATTTAGTACCTACAGTTGTCAAAAATAAATGTATTGCCTGAAAAAGGTCTTTGTTAAGATGGCCTTCACCGATGCATCGTATCACATCAGGTTTTACAATAATAAGTATGGATTTTTTTTCCTTTAATAGGGTTTGATATTTCTTTTATCATGTTCTTTGAAATGATCCTTTCTGTAGGAGCCATGTTCACAAAAAAAGAACTGGTGAAAGCATTTTAAAACAATCCTAGGAAATGTGTTTGGTTGCTTTCGCACACATCCGTTGCTACTTTGGAACTGAGGTACATAAAGTACTGTAGCTAAGTTAGATGATGCTTGTAGTTGTAGCCGTGCTTGTAATATCGAGTTGTAAAGTATGTTCATTCTTCGAAATGTAGGTTTAATTGTAATTGCTTGCATAATGGAGGACTCAAAACTTGAGGGATACTGTAGGTGTAATCTAAAAATGATCTAATCTAAGGTATGCTAATATAGAATATAGGTGCTTTTAAAAAACAAAATTGTTGATGTTTCTGTTGTGTCCTGATCATGCATCTTTTCAAACGGCCAATATCATGTAACTAATTCAACATTCACAAGATTTGTTTACAGATATTTAACTATGTACTTTCTTATATATCATATAAAGGAGAGTCATAAAATGGAATGTTTTTTATATTTTGAACAGAATAAAAATGCATTAGCTTAACGAAAAAACTGCACAACGGAATGCTGCATAAATCTACCAATGACATGCAAAAGTGAAATTAGCAGTGTTTCCAAAACCATTTCTCATTATTGACTATTACATTATTCCTTTGGATAATTTCTGAAGTTTGTGAAGAGAAACAAAAGATAATACCAACAGCTACCTACTTACAATATTAACCTGCTTTGATCTGAAGGTAAGGATTTAAATGAAACTATTCAAAAACATCTATTACATCTGTTCTAATTTAACAGGAAATTTGGAAATAAGTTTCCATATGGTCCTAAAAGTCTGCCAGTGACAATATTCTCAGGATTATTTCCATTTAGAGGGAGCTGAATTTCTTTTTATTAAAGTTACACCAGGTACTTACTGTATGGATCTGGAGAGAGTACAAAAGTCAGTTGAATGTTTGATATCACATCATACATGGAAAAAAAGAAACAATTACACATTTACACAAACATTTACTGACATTACAGGGGGAGGGTTGTGAGCATCCTGCAGTGACTTAGCCACTTGATTTCATAAATATTAACATGCACATAGAAGTGCAAATTACTGCAACAGAAATTACTTTATGGTAAAGAGATTTGTCCAGCTCTTTACCATAAAGAGTACCTGAAAACAGATCTACATGGAAAGGTAGCAATACAAAAATCAGAAGTTTAAGACACAGCTGAGGAAATAATCTATTGAATTTCTGATAGTGCTGACTCTTGTTCTATACTAACTTGTATCAGACATTTCATAAAAGTTCTATCTAATTCTTGTTTGAGACATAGGAACTAAAAACAGACACAACATTAACGATTTAAAATCCGTGAATGGGTTCTTCTACCTGCACAGATGACACCAGCATCCAGTTCATGATCACAGTTGTGGTTTCCTATTTCTCGTGCTCTACAGTTTAAGAGGGATGATTCAGTTCCGGCGCAGTGCACATCATCTAACACGATTGCACCAGAACCTCTTCCAAAGTCGGCAAAGTAATGTGCAGACAGAGCCCTTCCACAGCCCACCTCTCTGCACACCACATTAGCATCGGCTAAGTCCCAGTAATTGCTGCATACAGTTCCCCAGTGGCCACGATGATAGACCTCCACTCTCCCAGAGCAGTTGTGGGACCCATTGACCAATCTGACACGAGTGCCATCTGCAAGAAAGGAAGGTTAAGGAAGAATTATTGTCATCGACTGTTTCTAAACAATGTTACATTTCATTTGGAAGATCACTTTGTGAAAAAATCTTAATTTGAGTAATAGGATATATTGCATTATTGGGCTTTAGACTTCCACTTCACCATTTATGCTTCAACTCTACCATTGAACAGACCCAAGAGAACAAGTGGAAGCCAAAGAGGAGAATTTTGGATGTGCCCTCTCAGCACTATTGTTTAATAGAGGTATCTTTCAATCATCTCTTGTCACTCATTTGAAGTGTTTACTAATTAACAAATGAGTAGTAAATGTTTGTGGACTGATGACTTAGAGTAGAAGAGAAGCAAAGTGGCATTGTGTGGTTTGTGTTGTAAGGTAAGAAAATGTGTTCACTGCCTCAACTATATATTCATTAAATTTCTTGAAACTCAATAACATATGAACTGCCTTCCAATGACATACTCAAAATTTCTAAATGAAATGGTGGTTTCTTTTTCCTATTGGGTAATCGGTGTAAGAAGACCTGTGAATTCATCCACAGTAACCACACAAACTCCATTGTAAATATTCTCCAATTGCTGAAAATGTTCTGTTCACAACAATTCAGCTTCTGTATTAAATTTAAACTTAAATTTCTTAATGTAATGTTGACTTTAGTTGCTGAAAAGTAGTCCAATCAATGCTTCTTTTCAAAATTTGACCCAAAATCAGACCCATTCAAAATTTCACACACTGCAAGCTCTGCAGTACCTTTCAGGACAGTTATTACAGGACTGGTGAAAGAATGGGTCTCTCACAGATACTGTAGTAGAAGCATTTAGGAGCCTGGCAGGTCCTGTGTTGTGAGTATGGAAGACCTAGGAACTAGTTACCCCAACCCTCAGCACTAGTACCTGAAGTATCACTGTAACATTTAACTACATACAAAGTCAATGTTTAAAACCAGCAATATAGAGCTCAGTCTACAAACTCAGTGGATCCCTTTGTTGATTGAGCCACCATTTTGGTTCAGTGACATTAAAAAAAATACCTGTCTATTATATTAATGGATATGGAAGCAATATATAAAACTGCAGTCCAAGTTAAACAGATGGTGAAGAACAAATTACTTTTTCTTTTCTTAATGTATGTGAGTTTTTATACCAATTTGTTTTGTGAATATAATGAGAGTGGGAATGAAAACACCTACTTCTTTAAGAAAATGGGAAATTACTCACCATTAGCATGTACAGTATGGTATTTGTCTTAGGAACTAATCAGGTTGGACAATGTTGTACATTATTTGATCAAAACTGTCTTTAAAATGTAGTCAAATACGGTAACTGGTAATATTTGCCCCTGCATAGCTGAAGCAGTTCTTAAACATTTTTGTTTTTTAATTTTGATCAGGAGTTATTTAGATTAACTTACTGTATTTGTCTGTTGTCTTTTGACCTGGACAAAATAAAAAGGATGCAGAATTAGTTTTCATTCCCTCACAAAAATAAAATTTTAGAAATGGATAAAGGTAAAAGGGACAGATACAAATAAATACTGTAGATAAAAGCCTATAGTCTCACAGTAAAGGAACCTTACACTGTATGTTTTGTGAGACCAGTTTAATTTTATTTTCCTAAACCCAATAAGAGTAGACATACCATGAAAATGACAGAAAAATAATATGTAAAATGTAAACTGATTTGTTTCTTTCAAATATCCGCGTGTTAGATACAAGCTTTACCTGCACAAACCACATTAGCATCAAAGTAGTGAAGACATAAATATGTCTGCAGGTCTCCAGATTTGCAGTCAAATAACGAGGACTCATTCCCTGAACATCCAACGTCCACTAGTGCTATCAGGCCAAAGCCTGGACCAAACTCTGCCCACTCCGAAGCAGACACAGCCGCTCCACAGCCAAGCTGTTGGCACACAACATCAGCATCTTTCAGGTCCCAGCCATAACCACACACTGTGCCCCACTGGTGTGCGGCATACACCTCCACTCTCCCTGAACATCTGTCCCACCCACTGACGAGTCGAACTCTGGGGCCATCTGGGATTGAGGGAAAAAATATACTCCATTAAGTTATTTGAATGCATGGAACCCACATTTAAGCTGGTAAAGCAGTTGCCTGATTAACATTTAGGGTCATACTACAAAATTGTGTTCTTCTAACATCCATTGCAAACAAGCAATGTTGTAAGTTGACCAAGACACAGAAGCCTGTTTGGGCCTTATCAGTTCATAGAAATGACACTGCCTGACAGAACTTAGAATTTTCCTTTTTTTACTTTCAGTAAAAGCTCTGGATGGGTCTGTTTTTTTCTTTGTATGTAGTGTACTGATATTTAATTTGAAAACAAAAATGGTTTCTATAGATCAGTGTTCAGTGTCATTTCCTATTTATTCACTTTCAACAGAAAGATTATAAATTGGATAAAGTCAATCTGATATCTGAATAAATTCCTATAAAATATATGATCTTTGGGATCGCAAGTCCAATGCATGTATGAAAGATGTGTGCAGGTACCTTGTCAGCCATTTAATAATATATTATATTTTAATGTAAAGCCTTTCATTTAGAGTAATCTCAATGCTCTTAACCCAAAATAAAATGCAATAATCCAAATCACATCTTATTAGAAATAAAACAAACAACAAAAACAAAACAGCTAGACTATAATTTGAATTATTAAAAAGTCAGGTTTTTAAAAAATAATACGATTTAACCACGAGATAATCTTTCAATTATTTCCAGGTAATTTAATGGCTGCTTCCTATGCAGCAGGATCCTTCAATTTATTGTTTTACTGACTACCAACTAAGGAAACACAAAAATTGAATGATATACTTTTTCAACCTTGTTAAAATACAAACTCTATACTATTTTGAACACACAGGAGCTGTTGTGTGGCAGGGAACTCCAACCAACAAGGACTTGCGATAGTGTAGCCTTGAAGATGTGAATACATGAATCAATTTCGCTGGATCAAGTCTAAAACTATTTTGTAAATAAATGAGGGATGTGCTACAATTTTGAACATGGGCTTCAAATGGAAAAAAAAGTCTTACTCTCGAGTCTGTAAGTGCAGAAGTTGGCAATATTTCACAAACATTAAACTTTAAAATCTAATCTCAACAAAACATGACCAATTTTTAATGAACAGATATGAAAAGTAATGACAGTGTGTCAATGTATCTTACCTTACTTTCAATAAAACATAAAACATGCTAATTACTGTACAGTATGTGCTAAAATTGCAATCTTTCTGACTTGAAAACAAATACCAGACATATAAATAAATAACTGATTGAACTGTACATCTACTTATTTAAAAATATCTGGGGCCCCACACCTGGCCTTATTCATATCCTAGCTAAGTCAGCTACAATGACTACAGGCCAGATAGTCTGTTTTAGAAAATAAATTATGAAAAGAAATATACTTATACTGTAAATTACTTGTAATTCATCAGAATGCAGTAGTTTTGTAGTAGAGGGGCAATATTTTTGCAAAGCACTGTATGTTACTTTTAAAGGAACAACTGGAAGCTTGCTAAACTAATCAGTTCACTTGTTCTAGATTCTGTAGGTTGAGCTGAATTATTTTACATAATATAAATAAACATTACATACAGTATGTATATAACCTATTTATATTCTATTGAAAAATATAAAGATTTAGAATTAAACCAGACATAAAAATCATCCTGTAAAATGTGGGAATCTGCATGTTTAATTAAAAAACCATTAATTGCTACATAAAATATTTAAAACTAAAATTGCATGATTAAAAACATGATTATAAATTAGAATTCATTTACTATAATGACATGTCAAACAAATGAAATGTAAGAGTCAAACAGGTACAGTGGCATAGATAATGGAATTTGATACACTTTTATGCATTGAGACATTTCAGATCAGGTACAGTACTGTATACTGTATGAATACATTGACAAGACACAGGGATCCAGATACACCTCTGGGTGGCACTGTTTCCACTTGACTTTCCATCATCAGGTAGTGACTCATTTCTATCTTGGAAGCACAGGGTTTAAGGTGAAACTACACTATCAGCACTGTGCTGTAGGAAGGGTCACAAGTGCATGTTCTGGATACATTCCATTGTTGTCTGGCACAATGTAGCCTCCCTAAATTTCCCCATTAATTCAAAGTGAACAACTGTCACTTGTTGCTCAGAACAGTGCTACCCTTCAACGGAGAATGAAGTTATCCCGTCCTATATGAGAAACACATTAGGTTCCTTTAGGACGATAAAAATATGTTGATGCAAATAAACATAATTATAAGCCACATAAATAATTTAGATTAATAAGAAATTCACGCAAAATGTAATATGAACTTAACAAATGCATTCCTGGATGTTTATTCCACTAGTATGTTGATCTGTGCTCTAATCAACTTCATTGCTTACTTACTATAGGTGTCTGAGGTATCAGAAGGCCCTGCAAAAAAAAAAAAAACAATGGAAAAGAAATCTGGTTTTAGATGAATTTTACAACTTTGTTATCATTTCCTTCTTTTACTGTATATATTAATATCCATGACAACATAATTAACATACCATTAATTATAGATGGCACGTATTCACGTTCTCCCTTTACAACTTTAATTTATAACCTTCCCATTGAAGCTTTGAAGTAAAGCTAACCTTTTGAAACTAATGCTGGTAAAAAAAAAAGAGACCATAGAGCTTTCCCCAACACACTTTGATGTTATTCCTATGTCATTTTTCAACATATTTAAAGTATTAAAATCCCATTATCTACCTGAACATGCCACACTGGCATCATGACGATGGTCACAGTAGTTGAGTCCAGGACCAAGGTGTCTGCATTTTAGCAGAACATCCTCAGTCCCAGTGCAAACAACGTTATTCATGAGTATAGGGCCAGTTCCTTCACCGTAGGCTGACCACAATGGGGCAAACAGGGCACTACCACATCCAAGCTGCCTGCAGACAACCTCAGCATCCTTCATGTCCCACAGGCTACTGCACACCGTCCCCCAGTATCCACCAAGCTGTACCTCCACTCTCCCGGAGCACCTGTCCGGCCCGTCTGAGAGTGTGAGCATTGGCATTTCTAGAAAACAAGATGAAACAAGTAAGAGTCCTGGCAAAATTGATGGGTCACTGACTGATACAAGTAAAGCATTCCAAGGCCCGAATAAATGAAGATATACACTGCAGAATAAATGCAATCATTAAGATCTATACTGTATGTGATGTGCTGCACCATTACTTTCGCCAACTAAGAATATAAGGATCTTTATGTTTTTTAAAGACACTGTAAACTGCACAGTATGTGAAAAAAAGCACGGGTTTGAGACAGGCTTTTTAAAATTTAGAGGTGTACAGTAAATAACCTATACATTTCCAGAAACACATCTCAAAGCACCTACTACATATAGTTCACTTGGTTATAATTTCAAAGTGCCATTCTATGTGCACTATGCCCTTCAGTTCCAGCCGACCTTAGTTCTATCAGCTTTTGAACATTACAACAATTATCTGAATAAAGATTATCTGAATAATGACTTAATTCCACTTTTGATTTCAATTGACATTTCATCTTGGCTATATTGGATGGTGATCATCTTGATCATGTTCATCCTCATACACCTTTGTCACTTCACATGGAGTAAAATCCCCAGTAAGCAAACTGTATATGAGAAAAACATTTACTGTAAGTTGAGTATTGACAGCAAAGCCTTTTGAAGACATTTTTAGACATGTACTAAGAAAACAAAGTTGGAATTTCTTCCATTTATATGTATAATGTACTTAGCATGTGAACTATACCTGTGCAATCTGGCACATTAGTATAAAGATATGAAACTAAGAACATAATTACTTGATTGAAATACAGAACTCTTTTCTCATTGCTGACCCTTCTCTACAGTATAACATTTTAAATCAATCACGTTTTAAGGCCTTCAATAAGACAAAATAGTCAAAATGTAGTTAGGGGAAATCAATTTAGGAACAAAATAAGATCTATATATTTTCCCACTAAAGGATTCAAATGAAAAGTAAGTACCATTGAAAGAATGTTAATAACATAAAGGAGTTTCCAATTACTTACGGAAGGAACTGGGGCCGTTCTTACCTGGGAAAGAAAAATGATTGTTAATCAATATTTTGATTTTAAAAATTCAAATGTTTCCTAAAATCAAACAGGTGTTCTGACCTGAACAGATGACGCCAGCGTCTTCATTGTGAGTGCAGCTATGGCCACCAAGGCCTCCAGAATTGCAAGCCAACAGAGAGGGCTCAGTTCCAGCACACATGACAGCACTGAGCCAGATGGGGCCGCTGCCTGCCCCAAACCAAGCTCTCCCTGTTGGAGACAGAGCGTTGCCACAGCCGAGCTCTTTACATACCACTTCTGCATCATCAATGCTCCAGTCAAGATGGCACACTGTGCCCCACTGGCCTGCGTGATGCACCTCCACTCTCCCTGAACAGTTGTTTCCATTTGCCAGTTGGACACGGGACCCATCTGCCAGTGAAAGAGGAAGGGGAGTCAGGGAAAGGAGTGGTGTGGAATAAAATCTCAATTTAGCTAAATAAAAACAGTAATTAAGAATCATTACCCATTAACATTCTGTAATCAGCTTCCTAGTTCACAGCTACTAAGATTCATTGTGAAGAGCTAGTAATAGGAATCAAAAACATCTTTATGACTGACTTACTGTGGAAGAGATGATTATTTCTAATTAGAATATTCTCATTTGAGCATAAATCAGTGGTATGTAAAGTGAATGGAACAAGACTGACAGCTGGTGCTAAATCAACACACACACAGTCCAAATAGATTTTTCAAATAGACTTTTATTTATTCAAGTCTGTAATGATCAAGCTCAACACTTTTACATGCGAGGGAGATTGAATGTTAGAATAACTTGCAAATATACCATATTCATTACATTAGTAAAAACATTGCAGATCTTTGGGGGATATCCGTTAACAAAGAAAGTGACCTTCTGTAATTCCTTTCATTAAAAAGTAGTTACTGACTGAAGCTTCCTTTTTTAAGTAAAGAAAATGGAAATATGATGGTGCAAATAAGTAACAGATAAGACAAGATAAAGAAAATGAGAAACAGAAGCCTAGTGTAAGATGGTCAGGCACAGTGCTCTTGCTGAAGGAAAAGAATAATAAGCGAATAAACAGATATTCTCACAGAGACCATTAGGTGGTGGAAGGGAGGTAGGCAGAAACTTGGGTAACAGAGGGCACAGATAAAGTATCATTTAGCACCAGACTGACAGACATAAAGCTAAGCAATTTAGTCTGCATTTAATGGTGGCAGGTTTTCAGGGCTAGTTTTTTAGTTATAAAATATGGTTTCTGTTGACATTTACCTACTTTCACCTGTATATTTAATTCTGATTAAAAATATTCACTTTGAAAAATGTGTGTACTTCATTTGGAATTAAAAAGGAAACTTTTGTTAACTTGTTGTTGGTACAGCCATTATTCTAGTATGTAACATTTACAATAGGATTATGGAAATCAATGAGTACAGTATATACAGCATGCAGATCAAATCATATCACCAAGTGAAAACAGTGTTATAATGTATTATTTAAATGAGTGTAAGATATTTCTAGGTCATTAAAATGTTATCAAAACATGAGTGCACAGACTTTTCAATCAGCTTTCCATTTCAGATGAACACATACTGGCAATGAACTGCACAAATTTTAATTTAGACTGAATATTTCTGCAACTACAATTGCCAAGGACAAAGACACATTCAAAGAAAATGCAGTAGTTGGGTTGATATAATATTTGTTTTACTGTATGTAACAATTTTGCTTGTGTCAGTCTAGCTGTGAATAATGCATACTTACTATATCCAGGATCATATAGCACTGCAGATAGTTGTCAGTTGGATGTCACATGTAAGAACAAAACAAAATGTTCACAGTTAAGCTTTGATTTCCATTTAGCTTGGTATAATGATCTTTTAAAAACACATCAGAAGATCAATCATATAGCCCGTGAGGCATCAGTAGCTGCCATACAACTTGTTCTGAAGTGTCCTTATGTTTCTTAAAGAGGTTACGGAGTGACAAGGTGAGTTTTAAAAAGGATTTATTTCTTTAAGTCTTTAGTATTTCTATTAATTTAAAGGGCAGTGTTTCCTACACATTCCCCTTACAATTATGCAGAGAACTATAACTTGATCTAAAAAAAATAAAAATACATCAACAGTGATGATGAAATGAGTAGTTCATATTACCTGAACAAATGACACCAGCATCTTCAGAATGGTCACAGTTGTGATATCCTCGGGCACTTGAAGGGCAGTCTAGAAGAGATGTTTCAGTTCCGGCACAAGCCACATCATCTAAAAGGATGATACCGGAGCCTTCTCCAAACTGAGCTTGACTAGTTGCAGCTAAGGGAGCCCCACAGCCTATCTCCCTGCACACAACCCGGGCTTCGGGTACTCCCCAGCCATCATCACATACTGTCCCCCACTGGCCTGCATAAAATACCTCCACTCGCCCAGAGCAGTTGTTGGCTCCATTCACCAGTCTGAGACTTGTGCCATCTGCCATTGGAAAAAGAATGAGAGTCAGGTCATTTCATACTACAATAGAAATGCGCCTTTGTTCTTATGGCTGGTGAACAGATTGAACTGTCAATGTTTAGTGTGCTACTGTATGTACTGTAGTGCAACATGAACAGGTTGTTCATACACATTATATTTCATAATGATGTTAATGCACACAGTCAAGTCTGTTTTTTGGAAATATGATGTATTATTACCCTCAATACAAGCAGATGGAATTATTACATACCAGCTAGAAATCACATGGTGATTAAACACATAGGATTATTAACGAATATTCCAGAAGGTGATATCTCTGTTCCAAACTGTACTCAATATAGAGTAAATACTTCACTGTAAAATGTTACACACTTTTATTAACATTAGTTCAGTTCAGTTTATTGTCATATGCACAAGTGCTTTGAAATGCTTATTTGCATGAATGCTCCAACACAAAGACATTAAGGAAACGCGCACACACAAAAAAACCCATAAACACAGAACAGCAGCAGCAACAAGTTAAATAACATATAACTTAAATAAAACAACAGCGTAAGCCAATGCTAGGGAGAGAGTTCAGTAATCTTAAAGGTTGAGGGAAGAAACTGTCTCTGAATCTGGTAGTTAGTACCTGTATGCTCCTATAACACTTACCAGAAGAAAAGGGGAGAGAAAAATGGGAAACCAGGATGACTGGTATCCTTAGCGATACTTCTAGGCTTCCTGAGAAACCGAGTTTTAAAAATATCTGGAATAGAGGAAGCTGTATTCCATTAATGGAGTGGGCTGACCTAATCACTCCATGTCACGTTCGTAGACCCCTCCTCTTAAGGACGCTCCAGCCCTTCCTTGTTTTCCACTCATCGCCCGCACCTGCTCCCTGTTCTAACCCCCTTTCAGTTCTCCTTAAATGCCCGCCGCTCAAGTTATTTGGGGGCTCTGCATTGATCTCCGTATCGTGCGAGTTCGGGACCTGGAAGCGTCTGGTCCCGTTAAGGTTTTAGTCTCTGTTACTGTCTCCCACCGGTTCCAGTTTTTAATCGTCAGTCTTGGATGGACCACCCGGTTTTGGACTTTAGCTTTCGTTTGGATTCCCTTTTGGATTTTCTCCCAGATTGTTTGCCTCGGCCAGACCTCCCCCGAACACCAGTGCACCAAGGCCACGCCCCCTGTTTTTATCCACATATCCTGCATGATCTTTCCCCGTTTTTCTTCACTTTTCCTGGGATTATGTCGTCCTCATAGGGTCTGAAAGAACTGCTCCGTTACACTCCCCTTAAAACCTTCCAATCAGAAAACGAGCTGCTGCTAAACTACACTGTAATACCACACTTGAAATGATAGTATTTTTACTAACAATACTGCTTGATGATAATGTACTGAGACAAAAGCACAAGAAATGATTGGCAACCATATTTGAATTCTTTAGAATTACAGTATTTAATATATCAATAAAACTACTACCATTTCAACATTCTTTCAAAGTCTGATACCTGTTAGTTACACATAAAGCAGTGTATGCTTCAAAGCTTGATTTTAAAGTAAGGCTCTGTAAATGTTTTTTTTTTACTGTAGCTCCTATATCCTCTTGTGATGAATTTATGATTAAGGAGGAAAGTAATTTAGGCAGTGGAAGAAAATGGATGAAGTTTGTATTGTGATTCAGTACTTGATGGATAGTTTGGGTGGTTTTGCATCCAGGATGTGACAGCCTATCGTTTTTTTTCTTGTCAGTTTACTTTGCTCCTGAAATGGAAGTTACTATAGGTAGCCTATGGACTTTGGTTGTGTTTATCATTAGAAAACTCTATAGGCTGGTTTGCTTTGAGGTGTCTAATCAGTATGATGGAATGTTGGCAGGTGCATAGGAAGACACGTCTGAAAAACTTTACTGATAGCAGATAATTAATTGCTTCTGAGCAGAGGAGGAATCATACCCTTATATGCTCTTAAAACCTGGGAGATTGTCAAAGTCTTGGTAACACCTTTTGCTTTTGAGTGATATAATTAACATTACACGCTACACACTACAGCAAGTACTGTAGTGACTTCAACCTGGAATAACTAAAGTCCACATTGCCATCATCTTGAGGAAAAGCAAAGCATCTGTATAATTTAAAGAGTTGAATAAGGGAATGAAATGAGCAAATTGATGTTACTTACTGAAGGTATCTGATGAGCCAATGAACTGGCCTGAAATAAAGGAAAAAAATCTTATTACTGCCCAGAAGAGTTCAAAGGAGAAGAAAAATGAATGGCACTGTATCACAGAGCGCTTGCTAAAATTTAATCTAAACCTAGAGCCACTTCTGACAGTGCAGATTAGTGGACCAGCTCCCTTCCTCCATGAGCAGACAGACTCTATGAGCTCGTCTCCGGGAGACAACAGGAAACTAGATTACCCCTCCAAAAAAACACAAACACAGTGGGAACACATAGAAAGACACTAAGGCCTAGAATCAAATCCAAGACCCTCGAGCTGCGATGTAGAAATGTTGTGCTGCTCCTGAACACTGGACTTAACTTTAAATTGAAAAAAGTGTAACTCTGCCTACAAACCATAGTTAAAAATGTTCAAAAGATTTTTATCTAGTTTAGAAAACATTATTTTTAAAAATGTTAAAAAATGACAGTTAAAAATAGAAAAATGTTATTTTATATGTAAATATACAGTAAATATATTTTAAATATGAAGAAAATATGTAATATTTAAATTGAATATCAGCTTTTCTTTATTTAATTTCTTCAACACCTCAAAAGCATTAAAAGTTCTAATAATTGTTAATACTAACCAAAAACAACACAAGAAAATGCTTTGAAAATCCCACTTTAAATTGTTTTCTTGCTAGATCACTTTATTTCCAAATTCATACACTTTTTAATAAAAGACAAAATATTCATACTTACTAGCTAAATAAAGAAGAATGAAGGTAGGGAAAAGTTCCAGCGCCTTCATTTTTTGAAGGTAAAGATACAGTACCACAGAATCTTAACCTTAGATTGTAACAAGGGACTTCCAGAAATGAGCAGGGTTATGAAATGAAGCCCTTCTTATATTTAGCAACAACAGGTGAATATTAATTAGAGAGGAGGGGTAAAAAACGAAAAAGTGTGGAACTCAACAGAGTTAACATGATGCAAGCTGCTGATTCCCTCCTCATTTGGTAACATCCCTCTGCATCTTTTTTTGTCGGAACAAAGTCCTCTTGACACAACACCATGATTTCCATCTATCAGAGGTGCCCAAAAATTACTTTATTTAGGTATTATATTTTCTGCAATTTTTGTAATGTCACCAAGTAATTAAGACCCACATCCTCCGTTTTTAAAAATGTATAACAACAGCTAATGTTGTAAAAAATTAGGAGCTCCTGGTACTTGATAGTGATTGAGAGATTAAGGGATCTCAGGATTGTGGTTACTGTGGGAGGCAGCTCCCTGGGATTCCATACCTAGTCAATAACAGACAGCATCTTTGGTTAGCACTATCTTGACTACATTCTATGTAATGAACTGATAAGAAAACAAAGGACAGCAGCATTAGAAAAATTCACATTTGTGAAGGTCATAATAATCACAATAGATCATCAACAGACTCCCACAACACTTCGAAACAGATTTCTTCCACTGAAATATACTTCTTAGATCATGATGACTTCTCTTGAAGTACTTGGTTACTTGATACAGCATCCACAACAGTGTTTTCTCCTCTGTAGATGAAGCCTGAGCACATATTTTTACAGGAACAAGTAATAGGTTTATTCCTTGCTAAAAAGAGCAGAAAGCAAACACCATTTTTAAACTCTTCACACCTAAAGAAGGCTCCATGGCCGAAACGTTGTGTTTGCTTTCTGCTCTTTTTAGCATTGAATAAACCTATTACTTGTTCCTTTGCAGCCTAAGCATACTGACGCAGCTCCCCACCTGACATATTTTTATAATTGTGCTAATAATTGTGACCCAGATTTTGTAGGCGATTTTGAACAAATAAAGAAATCCTTCTATTTCCACATCATCACACATTAACTGGCTAGATGGTTCATGAGTAACAAACATGAATATAGCACATGATGTTAATACTGATTTTAAAATAATTTTGCCTTTCTCAATTGTTTCTTTCATTTCATTGCTTACCAGTGCAAATAATAATAACAACTCAATTAATTTGATTACTGTATTTTAATTGAAATTTTTGTTTTGTTAGACTCCAGCTAGCTGCTTTTAGTAGCATGGTTTAAGGGATTACATACATTAAACCCGTATTATTTTGATACAATGAACTATTCTGAATAGATATATAATTATTAGGTTAGTTGTAAAATACTACAATAGATTTTAAGAGCCATTTGTCCTGTTTCTGTTACCAGGCCTTTTTACACAGATGAATACATAATAGTCTGTATTCAAAAACGTTTTTAAACTCAAAATAAATGATTTTTTAAATAATACATGTTTCTTACACTGACTTTGAAATGCAAAGTCATCCCAACACATGTAGTCTATGAACAATATTTCTTTGTGATTTACATAATTGTACTGAGCACAAATTCACAAATTAAATACAGTAAGTAATGATTTTGAACATTTAAGGGAACCTGGGACTTTAAACTTTAATCCCAAACAACAGTATACAACAAATGTAAGGACTAGTATATTGATAAGGGTTATTAATGTTGAATAGGATATTTTGGACAAACAGATACCAACGACTCCTTAATATTGATACAATCAACTGTTTAAATCACTGAAGAAATCAAACTAGAAACTGTGATATCAGGTTACCAACAAAGAGAGTGGAACTACTGTACATTTAAGTTTCATTATGGGATAATTTACTCCACTCCAACAGTAATATTTTATCCTAAATCATGGCATTAATTCCTCTGTGTCTCATTTTTTTTTCAATTCCTCACTGCTTATTTCAAATCCTCATTATCAGGACAAATTAAGGTGATGCAAAAAAGTAGTTTATAAAAAAGTCATTTTTGTTTGTAAAATCTGAAATACTGGACTTTCCCTGTAATGATGATAGGAATTGCTTACAATGGATGCTATGTGTTATTCATTCTTTAGCATTTAAAAAAAACAAATAATTTTAAGACATGCACTAAAATGCACACAGAATAAAAAAAAGTTAAAAAACAAAAACTACATACTGTAGTTTTACAATTCAGGAATATCAGTTGTGCCCTGTAGGACTAGGTCAGTTATTTATGAAGCGGTTTTGTTTAGTGAATTTTGTGACAAATGAAATAAAGAGCTTACTTATTTATTATTTAAAAATACACAAGAACAATTTTCATTGACAATGTTGCAACTGTTAAACATTTAAGTAAAAAGAGCCAGAAAGCATACTGTATATTTCTCATATAATAGTGTGTGTTTAGGCTGAAAATACATAATCTGTGATTTAATGGATATTTGTCAATAATATACACCCCCCCCCCCACATTTAAGTGAATGTTTACTGTAATATGGAAACATTGAATTGAAGAAACAATATGCACCTTATCAAACCTTTATAAAATGGTCAATTTAAATTGTAAATGGAGTTTGCCTTATCAGTGGTGCACTGGTTAGCTTTGCTGCCTTGCAGTGCTTGGGCCCTGGATTCAATTCCAGAATTCAGGTGCTATATGCTTGGAGTCTGTGTGATCTTGTTGTGTTTACATGGTTTTCCCCTGGGTGCTCCAGTTTTCTCCTGCAGTCCAAAGACTTACCGGTAAGTTAAATGGCTTCTGGGAAAATTGGCCCTGGTGTGAGTGTGAGTGTGTTTCTTTGTCCCTGAGTCTGCCCTACAATGGACTGGCATCCCATCCAGGGTGCACCCTGACCTGCACTGTTGCCTGCTGGGAAGGCTCCGGCTTCCCTGCAACATGAATTGGATAAAGCAGATAGAAATTGGATGGATGGATTTTGCCAGATGAGTTCCAGGAAAAAAACTCTAAACTAAACTAAAAAACTCTAAACTAAAAAAAAAATAGGTGGCTGCTAATTACTTTAAAATAACACGTTATATAATGCATTGAAAGCAGCAAAATAAAAATGTGTAAAGATCACTTACTTTCTTTTTCATTCATAATTATAGGAACATCTAGCATCCAGTATTGATAGGTACTTAAATTAAGGGTCACATTGATTTCATAAAGAACTTAACAACAAATGGAATTCAGAAACAGACTTCAGCAGTGACGTATTCGGAACGGTAATGAAGGGAAGTTTTAATCTTTCATTACATGATCTCTTATGAAGTTTCAGTTACGTTCCATATCACTGGCCTCTAAATTCTAAATCATCCATCATCTCAGAGTACCTGTGTTATTACAGATGGATTACCTGGTGTTGTGGATCCACAATAATTCTTATTGCTGTTTCCTATCTCCTCTTCTTTCCATCATTTTGCATTGAATGACAGGCCATGACTCACCTCTGGGTCTATTGAAACAGTTTTTACCTGTCCATCAAGAGAAGCCAGGAGCAGTGTTTAGTTATTTTGTTTAGCTGTGATTTACTGAGATTGCCAGTACAACCTAATCTTATTGGTGTGCTGTTCCACAGCTTGGGTATCTCCTCTAAAGCTTAAGTTTTTGGCTACTTTTTGTTATTTTCTTTGGTGATATTTTTCTGCACTGGAACATTTTGTTTTTATACAACACGGAACTTGTTTGAAAATAGCAGTACAACATTTCATTGTGTGACTAAGATAAAAAAGGTCGGAAAAGAGTTTGTACCTGTAAAACTCATGCAGCTTTCTTTTAAATCTGTACTGAGGAATATCTATAGTATTTGTTCGTTGTTACTACTGTTGTTGTCAGCAACCAGCGTTAACTACTGTAAGTATATTTCAGTGTTCTGTTTTGTCCTATTCTTGTTTTTCATTTCCTCTGTTTATTTTTCACATCCACTTAATGAGGTAAATTAATATGACACAAGTAAATGATACTTTTCTTTTTGTAGTTATGTTACTGAATGAACTGTAGAACAGACACAATTCAAACTTGTTCAAAATTCTTTAGAGAATTTTTCACAAAATCCCTAAAGCTACTGTATACTACAATCAGTTGGAAAGCTTTAACCCATATGTATCCAAATCTCAACTAATAGACAATATTATTGTCATTAGAATGCTAGAAACATTAAATTGTATAATTTCATTCTTTATCTAATAGCCACTTACAGCATTTTATTCTCGTGTTCTGCATAATGCAGGATTCACAGAGTCACCTCACACCTGAAGAAGGCTCAACGGCCAAAACATTGTGTTTTCTTTCTTCTCTATTCAACATGGAATAAACCTTTACTTGTTCTTTTGCAGCCTATGCAAGCTGACGCAGTACCCACCTGATCTCCTTAAAAAGTTTGTATTATAGCAAGGTATGTTCCAAATCTTTAATTGAAACACCAATTGGCTCTTCTTTTAAAATATTAAAAACATATAATAGTATTTTATCTTATGACGCCTCACTAACTGTACTTCAACCATGATTTAGATCACCAAGATTAACTATACTGTCAAGACTAATTAATTGGCCAGTATGGATCCAAGTAGGTGTTATTAAATTGGGTCATATGATTAGATATACTAAATTGTTGTCTTTTTCTGAATTATCTCATCAAACCTCTTCCAGCAAAATATTTTTTTTATTTACTCAAAACTCCTAAAACCTTTCCATTAAGTGAACTAAAACAAGGAATGGATTAGAGCAATAAACTAATGCAGGGACTAACATACAAGTGAAGGCCCGGACATTTTACAACCTTCTCAATGCAAGGTCAGGTAAGTCTTTTGCATCTCAGTGGACAGTCGATCTCTGTGCAGGGTCAGAGGACATAGACTGGGATACTGTGTGGCATAATGTTAGTTATTCATTTAGAGCTATACATAAACTGCTTCAGTACAAAACTTTAAACAGATTCTATAATACCCCAGAAAAATTGAAAAAGATTAAGTGGCATAATACAGAAATGTGTTCAAAATGTAACACACATAAAGGATCACTATTGCACTTACTATGGTATTGTCAGCACATACAGTCATTGTGGACCTCCACAGTGGGGAAAGCTCTCAGGTACCTACTGTAAATATCTCAGTTTCACTTACTACCATTACATGTATCCTTGGTGATTTATCAAAGGTTAAAGTAGCAATTCAATATAAAAATACTTTCTTGACTCTGTATTTTTGCTAAACAAATAATATTGCAAAAATGGGTAGACAGTACAGGACTGTTGTACAAAGAATGGATTAAAGAGGCTGTAACACAAATTACATTTGAAAAGTTTCCATATAATTTACAGGGGAAACTTAATGAGTATAGTAATATTTGGGGCCCATTAGAGACATTCTTGAATGGCACTGGATGTTAAGAATATTAGTAGTAAGTTTTTGAATTAATATTTTTTTGTGAATGTAAGATTTTTTTTGTCTAATAAAAACAAAAAAGAGAGTGAAAAAAATAAAAATAAAGAAGTCCTCCAAAGTTGGGTGGTGGAGGCAGGTTTAAGAAGAAAAAAAAGAAAAAAAACAATGCTCAATGTTTATTTTTCATTTCAACATACAAGGAGTCCTCATGAATGGACTCTTTATTCCAGGACTTCAAGAATGTTATTGGAATCATCTAGTGTCTTTTGATAATGTGAAATATTTCATACTTTAGTTTTCAATCCTGTTTTTCAGCTCCTCTATACATTTTAATGCCTTTATTTTGTATACTTGTAATCATTACTGAAATGTTGATTTCGAGCATCTATAGTGTCTGTGAAACAATCCAGGTGTTTTTAGTAAGATTTTATGAATGCCTTGCTTGTACATTGTGCCTCTCCTGCAATCCCAGAAATATCCTTTACAATTCATCTATATTTTTTGAGGTCTTGTACATGAACCCAACAAGCGTCTTCCAAAGAGTAAAGCTCTAAACAATGTGGAGTGTGGGTTTGAGTCTTTCAATGACACTTGTATTTTTGCTCTCATTGCAGTGGAAAGATAAAGCATACCAAGCAAATCCCATGGACCAAATAAGCCAGCTACTGCCATGTTGAAATTTTCCAATTAGTAGTTTTCGAAGGACAACAAGTGGCAAACCTCTCTTGCTCCACCACGAGCCATATTGTATTTTTCAAAGACCTAAACAAATGAGCTTTCAGTGCCAGTCCAGATCTTTATACTGTATTATGGTGTTTTCTTTCTTGAGATCAGCACCAAGGTCTGAACTTAACTGGAAGGCAAAATTTGCAGCTCAGTCGATCAGTCTTATTCTTACATACAGTACAGGTAACACCATCAAATGCAGAGCATTTTAAGGCATTTATTATTTTATTTTTTCTTACCCTACTATGAGAAGAGAAGAAAAAATAAAGAAATAAGAAAAGTTGTCCGTATCTGAGTACAACACAGAAATGGCTGGAATGATTTAAATGTATATTTATCATGATTTTGAAAGAAACACACCATGGATGTACAGTATAGTGCATATGTTTGGATCCAGGATCACAGGTAGGTCTGTAATCTCAAGAACCTCTCAAGAACACCCAGCCCAAAAAAGAGTGAAACCCCATTACCCCAAACAATGAGCACCCTGGAAAGAAAGATCACTATAACAGACTAATTACAACCTAGGTCACACTATCAGCCCTGAAGTGTACAGTATGTAGTTCAGAAAGAAAATCTGAAATCATATTGTTAGCCAGCACCATGCACTTCTTCTTATAGTGTTCACCCTGTCATACAATACATAACGCTGAGTTTATGCACAGAGCCCAACAGACTGTAGGTATAAAACAAGTTATGAAAGTTATGCTTAATCCCTTAAGTCTCAATGGGCAATATAAAGTACACTCTTCAAAACTGAAAGCTAGATGGGAGTTCACGCTGGACAGTGAAATTACAGGACACATAATTGCCTGTCTTCTGCACTGGTTGCAACTTTGGTGCACAGCTGGGGAACCTAGATTTCTGAGAAAAAGAAAGGGCTAATATGACATAAAACATAGATTTATTAGACAATGAAAGCACAATAAAAAATATCACATTAAATGCTGGTGCAGATTCAATGGTACGTGAAACATGTTTGTGGTCCAAACCATGCCGGAGATGATAGAGTAATTTCAATCACTGAGGAGGGTTATCACATGGAAAAGGCAAAGTTTGCAGTGCCTTATTTTGGTAAGGATTGAATCTAGTTGAGGGAATAATAGATTTGTGACTAGGAGTCACGTGTGAGAGGAATTAAAGAGAATTATGTGAAATACTCCAGAGTCTGTTGTGACCTTTTGACCTTACATATAGAAGAACATAGATATCATATCATAGAACTGGGATAATTACAATTTGCTCTGTGGCTTTACTACCAAACAAACACTAAATCAAATGCTATGAAGCATTTAAATCTTTGTGTTGCCAGACAAGGGTAAACTGACCCTTACTTCTGTTTTCTGAATAAGTGAATAAGACTACAGTACTATGTTACGGTTAGATTTACTGTACCTTTATACAGTATGTAACTAATCCATGAAGATAAGTAAGCACAGCAACTTACTGTGTAAATGTCCTGCAGCAGCAGACCCTAAATTAAATAGAAAAAAAACTTCACAAAGCTATTAAAATACACATGCTCACTACAGAAACGATTAAGTGAATGAAGGGTGAAATTTCTCAGCTTTCAGCTATGATCAGTATAAACTTAAAGGGAATAAAACCAAGCATGTCTAAAAGCAGTTATTTATGACTCAATGTACACAGGCATAATATACATGTACACTGCTAAATAGAGATAGGACTGTTGCAAGAAGTGAAAAGTTAACAAGAAGTTGCCACTTCAGGATGCCACTGGGTTTGTCATGTTTAAGGCTCATTTGCAAATGCTTTTACTTTATTGCGTTGTTTGGGAAGATAAGACTGGCCTCCACAAACCCCTTTAGATCATAGTCCTACAAACTAAAGCCAAGTAGCATCTTGTTTTGATATAGAAAACCAATTGTTACAAAAGGTCTTAAGTTAAGATATTTTAAGCAATTCATCTGCAATATGAAATTAAGTCATATGGGCTTGCGGGACACGACAAAGGTAACATTCATTAAGCTTTTTTATTATATGTCGAAGACAGGACCATGTCCTTCATAATTTAACAATATAAGCCACTGATGACCTCAACCTTTTGAGTGAGGTTTTGTCTGTGTCCTGCACAGCAGTGGTAATTGCCTTGGTAATAAATACACATCATAGCACATTCAATAGCTTGCTTTTCCCTATTCTTTGCTCAATGGTCTTTTTAGTTCTGCAGACTTTATTGGCAAGTTAGCTGGTGTCATTATTCAAAGTAACTTACAGTACATTTGTACCCATTAATACATCTGGGGAAATCGCTTTATTAAAATAAACATAAGGTGTTTATCAAGGGCATAGGAGCTGTACCTCAACCTTACTTTTTGAACCCACAACCTCCTAGTTATGAGTCTAGACATGTAACCACAGCTCCACACTGCCGCCTGCCGAAGGCTTGAAATGCTTGCTGCTGGTGAAGACTCCAGGATCACGCAGCAAACCTATTGGCCTTCAGATTTTGTAAGTCAGTCAAGCAGCTGATCACTTGCCTGCAGAACCTTCCCAAGGGTGACAGCCTAAGCAGAACCATCCCTTCTGTGATTCATGACTGATGACTTCAGTAATGTGTCACTTGCAGATACACATCTCACATCTCATCTCAATGATTACAGAAAGAAGTCAATTTTGACCACATTGCTTAGTGCTTGTATAAACACTTGTGGATGGCTTTTTAATCTTCTGCACAGCCTGATGTCTCTGTGTGAGGGGTGTGTGGGCCCATACATATTGTTTTTTCTTTTCACCTCCAAACCTCTTTGCGTAAATGTGATCCCACAGATGATGTGGAATGGTGGCAATGCATGCAGGGCTTCAGTAGTGATTTCATGTACCTCAGATATGAATTCCAAGACTTTCCCATGCCAAAATAATCAAGTTTGATATGTACTTGAGCCTGATTTAGGAAAATACCACTCAGTCCTTGATTGCATTAAATGGAGTTGAGCCACTTGAATGGAAAGTGTCTTAGGGGCTACTGAATTACTAAACTTTGCAAATCTGGACCAGTTCTTATCACTATTGCAGTGTAATGAAGATGCAAAGCCTTTATTCTTGTGCACTAAGGCTGCATTAGGGAAGCAACAGATGTATAAAAACAGCGTTTCTTGTATTGTACCCTACTAAAGTGATTTCAGATTTACAGCATTAAAAGCTGAGCTGCTCAGACAGAAAGATAGCAGGTTTTGATAGGAACCTAAAGAAATTAACATGAAATGTATAGTGCCCCCCCTCCCACACACCCCAAAACTATTCATAGGAGAGATTCCTTAAGAAAAAGCAGAAAGGAAACAGCCAGTCTGATTTTGTAACCAACAACTTTAAAAAATCTATTTCAGACACTAGATTTCTTTATGCTTATCAATAAAATAACTCCAAAACCATAATAATATAATAAGAATAATGCTATCAATAAAAACAAAAACGCCACTGTATCAAGATTTTGCTTGAAAGTTTTTTTTACCAGAAACTATGCTCATCGTTATTGATACTGAAAGAAACTTGACAGGATATCACAAATATAATTACGTTTATGTTTGCGCTTCATTTGTTTTTGTGTCATTTGTTTTTTTAATCAGGCCGTTAAACAAAACTGAAAATTCAATAGGTTTTTTTTTTAAAAAAAAAAAGTTGCGTCTGAAGGTAAGTCTGTGGGGTATCAATTGTTTATCAATCTGGTTTCTCTTCTGCCTCTTCCTCTCTTTATTTCTTGTAGTTGCCAAATTGTATGGCCTGTCGGCCGTTGACACAGCGGAAGGCAGCAGGCTGGACCTCCCAGTAGTTGACGGGGTTGCTGAAGAGACTGATGCCATGGTAGAACGCTCTCTTCTTGCCAAATCCCACAGGGCAGAAGTCATTCACGTCCACACGGTCGATGTTATTGGCATGTAGGTAGACCACCTAGGCAGAACGAGGCAAAGGTTATGGAAATTCACGTCACCTGTCCTGTTTATAGCAATGATCTTCAAACAGAAGTCTGGCAGGGTTTCTGTAAAGCACTGTTTCCCACATCCAACATATAAAACCTTTGTGGTTTTATAAATACCCAGGTTTTTAGGTGAATTTAGGTGAATTCCTGCTAGAAATTTGAACACACAGTATTTTGGGATGCTTGAATGTGCTGAGTGGGGTTCATAACAGAAGTTCAGGAGGATGGTTAGATCCTAATCTCACACTTCTGCCTCCTTACTTAAAGAATGAAAGTCCCACACCCAGGATTTCCCTTTGCATATGTCTCTAGCCCCCCCCCCCCTCCCTCATCTGCACCCCTGCAGCAGCTCCCTAGCTCAATCCTTACAGTAGTGATGGGGGTTTGGGCAGTCTGTCCTCACAGATAGGCTACCATTTCCTCAGCTAGGTGAGTCATGTCAAATACAAGTCCACACATTTCTTCCCTCTGTTGCTTTCATTAGGATCTCACTGAACTACAGAATTAATTGCTTTTGTGCTGCAGTTTAATGAACATGTTTTAACAGTTAAATATTTAATTGTGGGGATGCACAGGTGAGAAGAAATTAGTTAAACCATCACAATAACTGATTTTTAGGTATAAATTAAATCTAGGACTTGGCAGAATTTTTATTTGCAGAGCCCTCTTTTTCCACCCAGCTATACCATGATACACCATCAAGTGCTGGACTTGTAATTTTCTATTTGCAGGTGGGCCAACATTTAAATGAATCCACATTTCATTTGTCTGAGTGCCTAATTTACAATTTTGGAATTTGTAAAAATAATACATGTGAGTGAAGTTCTAACACCTTGTGCATGGTTACAGGCTGCTGCTAACTTCTTACTTTGACCAACTTTAGAAGAATTTAAAATAATGTATTTTTGAAAATGTTTACTCAAGCAAGAAATAAGAAAATACATGAGTTAAAATTCACATAGTTTGTAAAAATAAAACAGAAGATTCATACTGCCTGTGGGTTTATAAAACGCTCTAGCTGAATGAAACAAAAGCATGTAAGACATGTGAAAAGACTAGTTATCTGTTAATCTGTTAACATGTTAATATTAACATGAATAGTTTGAGATATACTGTAGATAAAGATAAATGAATAGTCAAGAATTTCTCTCAGACACACGAATGTGGTGCTATGATGCTGCAAGCTGTTCTGTTTGGCTGTGATGTATTTCTTGTCTGTATTAAAGACAATGTTTCTCTGTCCTCACCTGCAGGTATTTCATGTCTGGCAGACCAGCAGGAACACGGGACAGGCGGTTGTTGTCCAAATGAAGTTCTCTGAGGTTCGGGGTGTAGGCCAGACTGCCATTCTCAATCATGCGGATATGATTGTATCCAAGACCAAGCCTGTAAGAACCGTGAAAGGCCGTGATGACGAGTAAAATTTCTTTCAGGCTTATTTCTGATAGGGAATATCCATAAAGCACGAGCTGGAACTACACCCAGGATGAGACAGCAGTACATCACAGGGCACACATGGCTACCTTGACTTCATAACAACAAACAAAACCAATGATAATAGTTTGGTATAAGTTTATTTAATCTAATAGGATACCAAAGCCCTTTACATGTGACGGGGAATGTGGTGTCACACAGTATGAAGTTTCTTTGTTACACTACTATGATGTAAAAAACGTTTTTTCCTTTAATACAGTACAGTATCTTTGTGACATTTGAAATGTGACTCTCAGCCTCGAGAGTCAGTTTATAAAGAGCACTGATTTAGTTCAAATATAGAGGTGTTATATAAAATAAATTCCAAATTTGTTCAATACATGAGATAAAAACAAACTTTGGTATCACTGGTAAATTGCATTACGTTGCAATGGTTTCTATTAAGATCGGAACTCTTTGGGGAGTAGCATTGCAGTTTCATGGAGCGATCGCAAGAGGGCAGAAGAGCACCACAGATTATTTTTTGTATCCTGCATGTACTGTAACATGGCAATACTCATCCAGCTTTGTGAAATCTAAAAGGAATCTTTTGATATAGAACATTTTTCTAAATCTAATTGCAGAGGTTCACAAGAATAAACCTCCCTAAAGACAATGGTAAATTGTCTTTTGTTAAGCAAAATAAAAAAAAAAGATTTTAACAAATAATTTTGAAATATTATAACAGTTTGAAAGGTAGAGCATAAAGCTCTGAAGGTAGATCTTGATACAATATGAAGTTGTAGTATGTACAGAATTTAGTATAGCAAAAGCATGGGATACTGTAATGGCAAGGTAAATCAGTGTAAAATTTTTGGTATCACTACAAGATTACCATGGTGGAATTTTTAAGTTTATCTACAGCTACAACTATGCAAAAGTGCATTCATACTAAAACACATAAAGATCTGTATTTTTTAAAGGAGTTTGCACACACAAAAATGACTTGTCATATGCAAATGCAAATAATTCAACTTATTCAATGTTTTCATTAGTATTAATAATTAGTATAGACCAACAGAAGTATCTTGACATCTTGTGTGCTTTCTAGTAAACAAAGTCCGATAGCCTCTCCCCACCTTTAGGAAAAATTTCCTTCAGCTTAGTGAGTCACACCAAAAACACTCCACTTACAGTACAGTATTTTTTCCCTCTGTTGCATCCATTAGTATCTACTGTAACACAACTACTGAGTGGCTTGAGTGGCACATTGAATCTATCAACAAAATACATTTAAAAAAAAATAAATTCTGGGAATTTTCTGTTTCATTGCTTTGATTATACATGCAGAACCAAGTAAAACTACAGGGGCACTGTAGGGCACTTATACTATGGCTCTACAGTACATGGCTGTGTTGCAGTATTAGCTGTACCTGTAGAGGGTTTTGTAGCGGTTGAGGTCCTCCAGTTCGATGGCCTGGATCTGATTGTGATCAAGGTACAGCTCGTGCAGGTTTTCAGGCAGATCTGAGAGACACAGGGAGACAGCCATAGTGACACAGGGACACAGGGAGACAGCATTTGCACAGCTCGGTGAGACAAATAATCACCTCTGATACGAAATGCAGTTCAAACAAAGGATAATGCAAGTGGGAAGAAGTTAAAACGTTCTGAGCATAAAGCAGAGCAATGTGGCCATTTGTGTCAATCTACAGTCCAGACGGAGTACATTCAAATAGTGAGCTCAGTCAGCAAACTCCAGTGTTCCATGGATATTTCTTTTTTCTCTTTTCAAAAGATACTCTAATCACGAAATTATTACCTTTGGGCACCCCAGTCAGTTTGGCCTCAGAGATGCGAAGGTAGTTCAGTTTCAGTCCTTTGAAGGCTCCAGGTTCAAAACCACCGTTCTGCAGAGGGTTCTGTCCCATTTCTGCACGGGGAAACAGTTTTCACCAAAGGGACTGCCATTCCACCAGTTAACAAAAAACTGCAAATGGAGTATTTAAATACTGTTTGCTGTTCCACTGCTAGAATGACTGTCCCGGTTATTCAGCCTTCCTGGATCAAAAATGTAACCTCTGAAATTGTATGATGAAGAAATAACATGCTACGCAGGACAGAAAAATCTGGACAAGGTGTGCATCCTAATGATTTGAAACAAGACAGTGGAATGAGCTGTATCTTCCATTATAGACCCACATAATGAATAATTGTCAAAATGGCTTTCTTAGTACAAAAACACTTTATTCTAGAATTTGAAATAAGAGAGAAATTCATAAGTCATAAGTAGGCTTGGTGCTATGAAACTAAAAACCTAAGACGAGGTTATATACATAATTGTTTTATTTAAAGGAACAAGTAACAGGTTTATTCCAAGCTGAAAAGAGAAGAAAACACAACATTTTGTTTCGTTGTGTTTTTTTTCTTCTCTTTTCAGCATGGAATACACTTATTACTCATTCTTTTGCAGCTTACGCATGCTGACGCAGCTACCCACCTGAATTGTTTTATTTAATATGACTTTGACACATACTAATTACTTCACTGGTCCAAACATTGATTAGGGAGCATCTCCACTTAGAGAAAGGAAATACTGATTCATTGCTTATTGTGAGTGTATTTATTATTAAAATAAATGTGTCTCAAATGAATTTTACTGGTTTTGAAAAGATATTGAGATACTGTGTATTAATAAAGGAACATGCTTTGGACAATCAAGAGCTTTCTTGTCTTATTCTTATTCATTCTTATCATTAATGATAATTAACATTTTAATTTACTTCAGTGAGCAGCAAAAATATACTGTACCTCAAAATAATCAAAATAATTATCGAATACTAACTTATCACTAACTCATGTCGTGGAGATAAAGAATCATCAGGTCTGGGACCCCCAGGGGTTTCTTTTCTCCTGCCGGGAGTTTTCCTTTTCTCCGTGGCCATGTGTTCTACTGTTATTGTTATTGTTATTGTCAACCACTCTGTCATTCTGTAAAGCACTCTGTGGTAAACTGTTAAGAAGGGCACCATAGCAAATAAAAGATTGGTTTGAAACATACCAGGCTTAGCTAGAAGTAATTATAAGATCTGAAGTGAACTCTTGGTTGAAACAAACAACTAATGCAAGTCTGTTCGAAAGCAATAAATTACTGATTATTTTGTGATGTATCAACAGTTTTTTACTTATTATTATGACTGCTGATAAATAACATGTGATAGTGGTGTTATTTTAGTTTATGGTAAGCTAAGTTTAAAATAACGTTTTAAACTGCTACTTGTGGTTCACTTTTGTCTCATAATAAGTGCCTGAAGGTTTTTAATGTGCTGCAAACTTGGACAAACTGCTGTGTCACAGATAGGACTGCAGGGACTGCACAGAACAGAAAACCTCATACTGCCCAACAGTTACAAATTCTAAACTCAAAGGTTATTTGCCACTGCATAAATGTTAGACACAAAACTTCTATTAAGTTGATGTTATGTGCCTTCCCGCGAAAATATACAGCCTAAATAACTGCGTACTAATTTCACACAGCTCTTATCCTGGGTCAAGAGACTCAGGTGTCTGAGAAGTCATCAATGCCTGTCAGGGTAACTGCTTGTGTAATTGGTTAATGGGCCAATTTGAGAAGACAAAATGAGAAAATTAATGTAAAGGCTTGAAATCTTATGAGAAGATTATGGAGGAATCCCAGCCATTGGAGGGACTCACCAATGCAGTTCATGTTCAAACCACTGAATGCTCCCGAAGGGATTTTCTTGATCTGGTTTTCATGGATGCGGAGCTCCACCAGGGAAGATGGCAGGCCGGTGGGGATCTCTGTCAGCTGGTTCTTGGAGAAGTAGAGCTTCTGAAGGCGCTTCAGGGTGGAAAAGGCCTTGGGGTGGACCTTGGAAATCTTATTGTTGATCAGGACCAGAGCCTGAGAACACATCACACTAGATTATTTTTCTTCATATTTGCATAGCGGAGGCTCTTGACCTAAGCAACTAAAAATATATGTAACCTAATAGAAATCCTAATAGGACAATGATCCCTTTATGTTAACACCTCAGATGAGGGGTTGCAAATGATTTTATAGCCTCTAATACAGCATATTACTACAGTATTGAAACAGTGTGGTAAGAAACAACCTGGTGGGAGCTGATCCTTTCAAATAATTAATTGCATTATTAGCAAAACCCAGTTTGTTCTCATACTTTATACTGTACAGGTATAAATATTTATTTAATGTACACCTGGGTCATCTCCATTCTGGAAGATGTTTTATGTATTGCATATATGTTCGGCACTGTGGGCAGGTGTAACCCACTTGTGCACCCTTATACCCCTTTCAGAACAAGTATTCAAACAAAACAATATCTACATACTTTAGATATGGTTTGGCCTTGTGTCCTATGGCATCATGGTGCCATTCCTTATATTCAACAAACAATTATTGTTTATTACTGTGAGTATAAAAACTAATTTTCAATGGAATGAAACTAATGGGAATTCTTGCTAATTATAATGTGCACAGCCCATAATGTGTTTATGTTGGCCTATTCATATTGATCCTTGTGTTATTTTGTTATGTACACCTTGGCAGTGGGAAGAAAGGATGTTTCTGCTGGAAATAATAACAAGGAGAAAGGACTGAAAGAGATCCAAAACAGCTACCAGAAATAAAACTTTGAAGAAAGCAGATATTGTACACACTTGTGCTTCATAAAGCTCTGCCAAAGTCTAGCATTTAAGATGCATAATCCCAGTTTTTTTTCCCCCCATTTCATTCTTAAACAGGCCAGACTAAATATTGTGTTGGACACAGCTCCAGCATACTGTAAATCTTGTGTATGAAATCTTTATCTGAACTCAGGGCCATACACTCATTTTGACTGAGTTCATTCAAGTCATGCAACTTACTATACTGTGGGTACTGTATATAATCACTTTCATGGTAATGGGTAACTTAAATAACTTGTATTTTTTCCTTCTTTAATTTAGTGTGGTTTTCGTTTAATTTTTATTCCTATCATTTTGATAAAAACTCAAAAGATTAGACTTTTGAGTTTTTAAGTTGGAATATATGGGGATTTTCCCCCAACTACAGTATGTTTAGAAAGGGCATACACTGATATACGTAAGTAGTATTATGCTCTCAAGAGATAGCACCCACTACAGCCCACCTTTGCTGGTAGGTGACCAGAGACGATAAAATGCGTTTCATGAAACTCCAGAACCTTGAGCTACTGTTTCCTTAGCAATGCAAACTGCTTAAAAATACAGTTTAAAAGTAATGGAGTCCTATGCAGTATATGATTCAAACTCATGAAAACATTATGTTTTCATAACTACATTATATTTTTTTCCACTGAATCTGGCATAAAAGCACAATTAGAGTAATTGATGTGTGTGAGGTTTTGTTTAATTTGATTTTGGTCCTTTAGCATGAGGATTAACAATAAGAAACCTTAATGAAACACTGACAGAAGCTCCTGATTTGTTCTTCGGGTTTCTTGTTAAGACAGCTCCTGTCTGTATTTTGGAAATAAATTACAAAGTAAAAGTCACAGGAGATATGCAAAACTCAAGTTTATAACAGTGTGCCTTACATAGAGGTTGTGCAGTCCTTTGAGGTCATTCTCTTTGATCTCAGTGATCTTGTTGTTTTGGAGGTCAAGTAAAGCAGTATCTTTTGGAATGTCCTTTGGAATAGCTGTCATTCCTGCGGCGAAACAGAAGAAAAGCGGAAGTTATCATTGCCTTCATGGCAAAATACTGAAGCAATCCATACTGACTTCACATTGTTAAAAAGATCAAATCCCTACACTCCAGAAGAATTCTGATTTTTAACCAAAAATAACTTTCTGAATACACCATTCCAAAGGTTGACCTTGATGACAGGTATAAGGATGCCCAAACCTAGTCTATATTTGTAGAGATCCATTTTATAAAGAAGCAGTGGGTTAGAGATCCAAGAACTGCAACAAAACACCAAACATAAAACAAGAATCACAATCCATCCATGTTTGACAGCATGGTCGTCTTTACAGAAATTGTTTACTACTTACAGTTTGCCTGCTGCATGGTAGTGCCTAAACTACTTTGGGGCATACTTATCTTAATAAAACAGGGCTCTGCAGAATGTTTTTTAACATTACTGTATGTCTCCCACTGTTGTGTTCTCAGAATTTTTCTGTAGCTTCCATTATTTTAAACGGAAAGAGAAAGCTTTTGCCTGGAGTGGCCAAATCTTTCTTCCACAGCAGAGTAAATAAACTGCAGATGGTGCGGTAGAGCAGTACTACACTGATCCATTTTAATATTGTCATTGCATCTCATTCAGCCTTTTCTTTGCTTGATGTGTTCATTAGTTGGCCAACACTAGACATAATCTCCATAAAATGAACGAGATTAAATACAGAACCCATAAAAAGAATCTAAAAAAAAAATGAAATGTCACAAAACTGTTTTTTGCTTTAATTTGTATCCCATTGTACAAAAATGCAGAGGACTTGATTTTTTGCTAACCCACACAAGCACTATTTAAACATACACTCTGAGGTTGCTTGGCCTCATTTAACTTCCTTGAAATACTTGAATAATTCCAAAGTCAGTATAAAGTAACAGTCACACATTGTATCCTTCAACCAGCTAATAGAAACTTCTCAAAGAATATGTGTTTCTTCTCTGTTTAAAATAAGAAGTAATATTATTTCTACTTTATTTTTCCATTTGATTATTTTTCCATGAATACAAACAAATCGGTTTTGATGGAAATGGAGTACAGCAAACCTAAATGTTTCTAGATACAAGAGAATCACAATATAGCCAGCAGCCATATCACCTTGCAACTCACAACTGGTAACCCACTGAAGCTAAGCAGGCGTGAGCCTGGTCAGTACCTGGATGGGAGACCTCCTGGGAAAAACTAAGGTTGCTGCTGGAAGAGGTGTTAGTGGGGCCAGGAGGGGGCGCTCACCCTGCGGTCCATGTGGGTCCTAATGTCCTAGTATAGTGATGGGGACACTATACTGTAAACAGGTGCTGTCCTTCGGATGATATGTAAAACTGAGGTCCTGACTCTCTGTGGTCATTAAAAATCCCAGGGTGTTTCTAAAAAAAAAATAGGGTTGTATCCTGGCCAAATTTCCCATTGGCCCTTACCAATCCTGGTGAGTGTTCTGGTGCACTATGGCTGCCGTTGTATCATCCAGGTGGATGCTGCACATTGGTGGTGGTGGTGGAGGTGCTATATAAGTATAAGCAATTAATATACAGACAACCCCTTGGTTGCGATTCAGAAAAGTGTCTTAATTGATATTTTGTGGCTATTATTTGCTTGTTTTGAGGAATGGCTACAGTATATGGACAATGACTTCAGCATTTCCCTAACAAACCAGGAGGCATTGAGGTGTAAACACAACGAAAGCCAGGAGATAATTATAGAAGACCTCGAGTCCTGTTTACTGTACAGTACATATCCAAGATGCAGTGACTAGTGACTATTTTGTGGTATAAACGTGGGGAGGTCTTCATTGAGTGGAAGATACGCACACACATTAACATGTGTGTCTTCATCATCTTCATGCCAATAAAATTGTTGGACGAAGACTCTTTCAAGTAATTCTGTTTCCGTCTATTTTCATGTAGTTTGTTTTGACAAACATAAATATATATTTACATGTCCATGTGTCATTCGACTTTCTGAGGGAAAAAAATGTTTCTAACCCAACAAAGCATGCTTTGAACACTTGTTATACACTTCATATGGAATGGTCTTGTTTTTCTCTCCCCCAAAATCTTTGTCAACTATAGAAGTGGCATTGTTCTTTGCAGAAAAATGAAGTGTCTTGCAAATCAGTGGGTGGCATACAAGACATATGCGTCCACAACATTTCTTTGGTTTTGCCTGTTACAACATCAATCAGTCTCCACTGATCATGGAGGTCTGTTAGTGGGAGCAATGTTAGACATCCTCTAGTTGACTTGTTAAATAATCTGCCGTATGTTTCACAGATGTTTCCAAATGCACCCAATCAGAAAGGTGGCAAAACTTGTACGTCAGCAAAACTCTTGCCTGCTTGAGAACAGTGTTCTTCAAGGCTGGTGTGAAGAATTTTGAGCAGGACATCCCAGTGCAATGGTTCAGGTTCCTGCATAGGAAGTGTTTCTGTTTTAGATGGACAAGTGTTTATTTTTTTTCCTATCTTAGGCAATCAAAACAAAGAGAGATCAGAACAAAATCAATTATTTTCCAGTTTGACCTAATTCATCACCAAGCAGATTTAAATGTCTCCTTGCATTAAATGCAGCTCAGTAACAGAATAACATTGACATATTTACTTATTTAGAATTTTCTAGAAAAAATTGAAAAAAAGAGTTGCTGTATGCAGAGCACAATAAATAATTAAATGTGTCTTCTCTATGACTTCCTTAACTAGTTATACGTTATTGACTTATGTGATATTTTACTGTACATGCATTTTTCTTATTAAGACTGATGTCTCATCTTCAAATTTGACATACATTTTTTTAAATGAGACTTACTGTAGTTAAGAGAAGTTTTGCTTTGAAGCTGTGTAACGTTTTCCATGTTTTCAGGTTTAGTGTAACTATTTACAGTCCTACAAAATGAGTATTTTGAAAATAAGGATTCTGTATTTCTCTGTTCCTAGCTTTGTTAAAAAAATACTCTACTACTATTGATTTTCTGTTGCCTACTGACATGCTTACTGAAACAAGACTGTGAAAAGTCCTTTTAGGTGGTATGAAACCATTATAAGCATTATTGGTTGAATCCAAAAAGCTGCTGTTTAAGAAACTAAAAGTCTGTTTTTCCTGTAGTTTTACCTGTACTTGCTGTTAATAAAATATTTAACAGCTCTTACTGTTGGTTTTATGGTCACTCCTTATTTTAGTGGCTGCAAACGTAAGCTTTATAAAAGGATAATGAGCAATCTATTACAATTCTAAAATGTTACAGATGGAACAAGTTACCATTTGCTTTTAACCCTAGGATGAAGTTTCAGGGTATGGTCAGTAAGGATTATTACGGAGATTCAACTAATCGTTTTAAAAGTTCCATTTCACATGTATCCATCTGTTCATATTTTATCAACATATGTAATTAATACAATATTTATAAGTGGCTTTTTAAACCCCAAATCTAACATGTTATAATTTATTGAAGTTCAATCAACCTAGTGCTAAAAACAATTTGCTTGTTTTCCTGCTTTTTCAGTATGAAAAGGTTTAGTAATAAACACAAGATTATTGCAAAACGTTAAATATTAAACAAACATTAAAAAAGAGTACATTCGTGTTATTCTATGATTTGTTCAAGTTTCCCCATAAAGGGTTAAGCACTCAGCCAAGACGTGATGTTGCTTTTTCCTTGTAAACTAATGTAACAAAAATACAGAGTGACAGAGAGAAAGTCCTATAAAAATAAACCAGCATGCTTTGATGTTAACTGTATGTCCTGTCTGTCTGCGTGAAGCAAGGCATTAACTCACTATTACACCCAGCAACGGAAGCTGTGGCTTTTAAACATTAGTTTGCTTATTGTTTCCACAAGGAAATGTTTGTTTTCATGATAACGTTTGTAATGTTCGTTTGCTTCTCCAAGGTGACTGTTTCTTCAAAAGAGGTCCTGCTGTCAAACTATAAGGAAGGTTCAGGCTTGTGATTGTACAATGCCCAGAAGTTCAACATTATGCTAAGGTCACAATCAGAATTAGTGACAAGCTAATAGACTAGGGTGGGTTTTGGATCTGTAAGATCTGTACCGTTCTTACACTTTCAATAGACAGAATGCATAAGAATGCATGGTTAATCTTGTGTGTTTGATTGCTAATAACATTGAGCGAAGAATTCGATTTGTTTCTTATAGGACCCCCACGAAGTTAACGTCAACTACATGATTGTTAAGGTGGTTCTTGAGTCCTACAATCCCATGCAAAATAATGGTCTTCTGTTTTTGGTCCTCAATGCTTCTAAACTTACATTTCTTCTCGTGCCTCCCTGCTTTTGTAGTGTCCTGATCTTAAAGTAGCTCCCAGAGAGGACTTGGTCAGTGCCTTTCAGGATTTTGAATACCTGAAAGTCCCTGCATAATCTTTTCTGTTTTAGGATAAAAAAAAAAACTTCAGTCCCCTCTAAATTGAGTATGGCATTCGCTTCCCAGACCGGGAATAAATCTAGTTACTGCCCTTTGTAACTATCTTTAGAACATCTATATACTCCTATGGCATCCTCTATTCTAATACGGTAGACAAAACCAAACATTATTTATCCTAAACTCTATATAATCTGTAGTATATTTTTGGAACAAATTTTGAACTAACATTGGACATAAAACCAAGAAAAAAAATAGAAAATTGGAGCACACACAAAAATAGTTAGAGAGAGTGTGCATTGAATACAGCAACAAACATTTCCTCCCTTGATACTGGATTCTTGCTAGGTTAGACAAGTGAAATAATTTGGTTTCCTCATTCTCTATTTTTATTTTCTTAATTCAGCTTAGTCAGAATGCTACAGCAAGGGTTTGGGCTAGTTCCCAGTCCCTCCATCGCATCTGTGCTGCGTTGGAGTCTTTGTACTGGCTCTCTGTTTCCAGCAAAAATCATTTTAAGATCATAATTTAAAATTAGAAAAGCATCCCACATAAAAACAAATACTGTGGGATTCTTGAGAAAAAAATAACATCAGGATTTTGGAACCAGCATCCACATACTGTAGATTTCTGTAAGCACCCTGGAGGACTCCTTCAGGTATCCAATAGGAAAGATTCTTCAGCACTTTATATACAGGGTAAATAAAGGAGTCCCTTATGACACCTGCAAATCTGTAAATACTTTGATTCCACATCTGTTCTTTGTTTATTTTTCAATAATGCAGCAGGAGGTTTGTGGATGGGAAGCCTGCCATTACAAGATAAGGTTGGATTTGTTTGAAGTGGAAGAAGATGCCATACAGAGCCAGTGGTAAAAACTGTCCCCTTGGAGAAAGTCTGGTTCACTACAAAGACAGAAGGTGTGGGTTAGTGTTGATTGGAGTCATCTAACCATAAAATCTCAAGCTCCCAGCTACCACTACCCTGGATGTGATGGATGCACAGGCCCATTAATGCATATAACACCAAGTTAATCAATAATATCACTTTAAACTGCCAGCACCGTCTGCCAATATGCAGCCAGTTAAATGAATATTGTTAAAAAATAATAAAGGCTCATACTTTTGAGATTGCTGGTGCCTAGGATGTGTGCGCTTTGGGAAGGCACAGGCTGTAATTTGAAGAAATGTAGGGTAATTCACTTGGATATTTTTTCCTCTAGGCTCTCCTCTGTAATTACAGCTATCCACGTAGCACAGGCTCTTACCCTCACCATGGTGTGCAACGTGGAACCGAGAGTGAAGCTCTCGTAATGGTCTGGCAGGTTCTTGTCATCGACATACAAAGAAATGATCAACAAACGACTTTGCCTTGTTGCACAAAAAGAATATTGCTGGCCGGTAAAGAGCTGAAAAAAACAGAAGTAAGGTAACAACTCATAGGAATGTCACACACAGGTTTGTGTAAAACCTGTTTTGTCTTTACGGGAAAAGATCATTTTAAGTGTTCAAAGTGCTCAGCAGTGGTTACCAACAAAAAGGCAGCTTAATGGATTCTTTGTGTTCAGAATTAAAATTTAGGGTTACAAATTGAGAATAAGCACATTTGGAATCAAATGGGCAGTACACATCAGTCATTCTTTTACACACAAGGATGAAGGGGGTTTAGAAATATCTGTGCATGTTTTTAAAGTCAACTCTCAGGGATCCTTCAAGATCCTTGAACAAGATCTTTCTTACACTCTTATATTCTTTAAACCTGTGTAGCTGATGGGTTCTCTACCTCATCTTACAATTGCATGTCCTGAGAGAACAGTGATCTATGCATTTGCAGTGACAGATAAAGGCAGCAGAGCCCTTACTTGTAACATTGCACTGAGCAAAATGTACCTGAAAACCAAAGATCTTTGACCACATCAGGACAATTTCAAATGCAACAGATACACAGCCGCTATTGATACACCAATACATAGTGAATGTAGATGCATCAAAGCAATCAACATTTACAACACAAGTGATGAGTCAAAATTCCATTTGTCCTTTCACAGGAGTGACCAGGGCAGAGCACAAGTGGACTGTCTGTGTCTGTTGTTTCCTTGTCATGCTATTTAATTTGCGGTTGTTTTTTCACGTCTTCCCTCTCCTTGTTTTGAGATAGCAATAACATATACCTGTTGTCCTATTATGTGAAAATGCATATTAATAAGAACAGAGGTCTAAGTGCCCTTCTTTCATTTGTAACTATTTCTAGCACATTTTGAGTGAAGTGTCATATTAGTAGAAGGACCGCATCAAGATGCTTTCTGAAAGATCACAGTGAGACAACTTCTGTAAGAAGTAAAAGGTTTTTTTACATGGGTCTCCTCTGGTTGTACTTTGGTTTACTTGATGGGGATGGAGACTGGGGTTGAATTCTGCATATTCCTCTATGGGTTTAAATATCCGAGTCATATTTCCTCAATGAATTCCCTCTTCCAGGTTGAACACATTAGCTTTCTTAACCTCTGATTGTTTGAGTAATATGATAATCAAATTTGAACCCAATTTTACATTTTTTACATTTTTACAGAGATTGGGGAGAGGGGTTGTTTTGGAAATCTGCCACATAAAACAAAAGACGTTTCCATTATTACAACGTGTGCTATGTGGAATTGTGGGGAATCTGGAATGCTTTTTCCATTCTACCCCCATCCCTCAAAGACATGCAGGACAAGAGCACTGGCTACTCAACCCCTGGCTATAAGGAGCACAACTGGGCCCCTTCTTTAATTAATCCATAGTAGTTCCATTACGAACAGTCACCCATTTAGGACACGACAGATGACATTATTACTGTACGTGTGCAGGGTGAGAGAATAATTAGAATGGCACTCAGCTCACCAGCAGAGCACTCCAGTACCTTAACACTGACACACATCCTCAGTGCTAAGAGATAAAAACGACTGATTTAACACTTGTTTGGACAGCTGTAGAAATCCATGCTAAAAGGGTGACGCCTGCCTGACATTCTGCTCAGTAAACATTGAACAGTTTTACACTTGCCACTGAGGATTTCTGAAACCATGTATTGAGTTCAGAAAAATGTTAAGAAATGCACAATTAAAAAAAATAGTTCAATAAAGGGATCAATGCACAGTACTTACAAACTTAAAGTGTGCAGCAAACGTTAGAACAGGCAGGGTGCCCCCAAAGGCTGGGTTTTTTGGAATTATTTCTGGGAATATCCTTTTCTTTGAAGACGGCAAACCAGCAAGTGTTCATTTTAAGTACAGCTGTGTGGTATCGTCAGAGGGCCTCAGAAGTTGTATTTGTTGGAGACTCAGCTAACCGTTATGCAGAATACGGATCATTCCAGCCTGCGAAGTGAGGGGGCCGAGCACATTGAAGGGATAATACTAATCCAGAACAGACCAGTGATGGGAAATGAGGGAGGGCTCTCCTCATCCAAAATAAACAGCACCTTGAAGAATGCCATAGGTTACAAGCCTGATTAATTTAAACTCTTTGAAAGCGTTTTCTTGTTTACTTATGGTTTCTGGACTAAGGGTTACTGTCCTGCATTTCCCTGCTCTCTTGTGGTTTTAACCACCCCCTTTCAAAATCTTTGGAGTTTTTCACTCAAGTGCAGTTTTTACTTATTACATATTCTCTTGGGACTGTCTGGTTGTTTCTGCTTCTAACTATTGTTTGGCATGCCATGATAATTTACCTCAGCCAAAAAACAAGTAAATCCAAAAACACCTCAGAAGTGAATGGGCCGAGATATCCGAGGATAGCACTTGACAGTCCGACACCTTGGGTGACTTCGTTTATTCAGTCTTGGCCCCCTATCTTCTTACCAAACAATGATAACATGGAAGCCTTTTCTGGATAACCTGAATTTGTGAGATGCCAAAAGATCACTTAGAATAATCTCTAAATGCATTTCAAGATATCTTAAATGTTAAAATATCCCTAATACATGTTGAGATAACGTGAAATGATATCTTGACGTTACCTGAGTACCTGTATGTCAAAACAGCTTTCCATTCAAGACTTTATTTCAGAAATATACATCAAGCATCGTATAATATACTGGTACCACAGCAGTACAAACATGACCTGCCAAGTCCTTTGTTTTACAGTACATTAGAATTAGGGATAAAAATCAGTGAGTGAATAAACTTGAAATATAAGTCTACTTTGTGCCATGGCTTACAGAAATGATAAGAACCCAAAAAAAGCTTTGCAGATGACAATTTTAAAAAATAAATAAAAAGACAATGTAAATGCACATTTCTAACCATTTGCAACAGAACTTTAACCAGCTGCTGTTGTAACCACATCAAATAAGAGGGACAATATGTTAAAAATACAGCAGTTGGTCTGTTGTCTTATTTAGCTAGCCTTCTAGCTGTAAGAGACCTGATAACCCTGCTAAAAACTGTTCAGAAATAAACATTTATTTTTCCACTTTTTCAAATGATTTATTTTCAAATGGCAATTTAAGCCGTATGACTTACATAGCAGCAACTACCATATAGCCTAACGCTTCCAGTCATAATAAAGCCGATTGTGCTACACGTCTTTAATTTTATAAGAATGGTTACAAACAAGAAGAGTTCATTCTGCTCACCAATCACATTTGAGTTTTCACCAGCTAACTGATCCAAGGATCTCACCCAGCAGTTTCTTGAAAAAAAGCCATGATATGCTCTTCAACAACATGTGGGTAGCATGTTTCACACTCCAACAAATTTGGTAAAAATGTACTTCCTGCATATTACCGTACAGGATATTCATTACTTCAGTTCCAATGATTGCATTCATAACCTTCCATGTAATAGAAGCAATAGAATTGCTTGGGTCCAATATTGTCACTCTTTTTTATGGATGGGCAGTATATATTAGCAATTATTGAGATACTGGGAATTTCCCTTGTCTTGAGAGAAAGCTGAAAGTATTTTGCTAAGGGCCTATGAATACCATTGTTTCCTTAAGTACTACTGACTCTGGAAATGGTCTTATCTTACGACCTTCTAGTGCCTGTAGCACTTCTGTCTCTTACATGCAAATATATAAGAATGTTATCTGTTTCATGTCATCAATAGTTAATGTTATTTAAAGCATGCAGCCTGATCCATATTTTACTCTACAGTTGCATCAAATAAACAACTTCACTTTCGCCCTTCTTTCCTCAGCTGCTCAGTTAGGATTGTCGGCAGAGTCACGGACACAGTCAAAATAAAATGAAGACAAGAGATCATTTTCATGCTGTTCACATTTTTAATATCAGTATTGATGTAAAAGATGATGATCGATCAAAGGCTCCCCCCGCTGAACACTTACCAAGGTCAGAGCACTGAACGACCCGAAGGTGACACTGGCATCCAAATGGACAGACTGGCAGAGGAGGGGGTTGCTCTTCTCCAGGGCCTGAGCCCTCCTCGTCATTCATCATGGAGTCACTGTCCAGTGCAAAATCCCAGAAGACTTTCTGATTGAAGGGCTCTAAGGGATGTGCCAGGCCAGATGCCAGGAAGGAGCAGAGCAGCAAAAGGAGGAGTTCCATGGCAGCTCCAGGTACTGCACAGACCTGGCAGGGCACAGAGAGAAGCAATCAAAACTAGGGCCATAACTCCAGAGCAAGATCATTACTCATCACACAGTGGCTGTGGGAACTGTGCAGTATGGGTAATGAACACAGCACTACCTGATGGCTCTTAACTGAGCTCTTCTGACTCTGCATCAGCCAGTGCCACGGTATTACGTCTTTTTCTAATTGCTGTCTAATAAATGCAATGCACATTTTGTTTTCCCTCTTAGTTAATTAGTTACTCCATCAAATACAGAACAGTTAGTAACAATGGATGCTTTCTGTTGTCAGGTATTATCAGGGGTTTCTCAAGGCCCTGTTTTGGGATCTTTGTAATTATTTATGAATATTATAGTTATTATTTATTACAGTATATTACTATGGCTTTACTTGCAGAATACTATTGACACTGGTCTTGCAGTTTCTAAACTCTCATAATTCTTATCAGAAATTACATTTTGGATGCAACAGATTTTCTAAAGCTACACTTTATTAAAATACTTAAGATAGTTTTGTTGTTTTGTGCTCCATTTCAGCTATGGAAAACTATGTTGATTGTAAGTCTTTCACAGAGGCCAGAACTCTTGGTGTTGTCTTTAACACTTATATGACTAGAGTCTCATGTCAGAAATATTATTTACAATTTTTTTATTTCTTGTGTAACACCTTGTTTATTTCATTATGACACAGAGACTTTACAGAAGCACATGTTAAACCAGGAACCATTTATTATAATGTTTTGCCCAAGGTTTCTGCCAAGACCCGCATAGGGTGCAATTTTCATAAAATGCAGCTGCAAGGATAATAACCAAATCTGCAGCTCATGAACGTGTACCTTCTGTTTTGCCCTCCTTGTCTGTTAAGTTTAGAATCTACTGTACTTCCAACTCATACAATGCCCAATGATCACCAAAAACAGCTAGGAATACATTCAGCTGTCACATGCTATTCAACCATTTGTTGGTCTTTCCTGGTTACTGTAAAACATTATTACCAATACCATGCAGTTAAAAATTAAGAATGATAAAAACAAGGAAAGTTGCAGCACCAGCAACTCTTTGTGAACCAATTAGAACATATTTAAAATCAACCTCCTTTGATCTCTAGACGCCAGACAGCTGTGTCCCACCAACCTATAAAGCATGTTCCACCAAGGGCCCCAAGCTTCCAACATCCCCACCACTTTATTACTGTATTAAACCGGGTTTTCCATCCCCAAGGGGACCAATCTGCAACCCCCTGGCCTTTGGTACAAGCTGACGAAGGGCCTTTACAAATACCAGCTGATCCGATCACCAAAGTACTGGCAAAATATTATTTCTCACATTTATTCTTTATACAGTGCAGAAAGAACAAAGGGCAAAAATATTTTCAGTGCAGAATAACAAATTGATAACATACTGTAGTATTTTTTTTTAAATAGAACTTGTTGAGTGCCTGTAAATGGCTTGAGTGTGCCTTATTTGGGAAATGGCCAGTAAGGTATTAGTTATTTGTGACAAAGGGCAAGTACCTACAGTACAGCAGACAGCCTTTTTTTGTACCAGGGGTGGTTGAAAAAAAGTTAAAATGGTTATACAGAACTGTGGCACTGTGGGTTGTGCCTTAGCTAAAAGAGTGTTAAATGTACGTTACAGTATGTACTGTATAGACCTGTTGTGAGATTAATGCTAGTATGTGATCCCCTACGTTATCACACCTTTACACAGGGGTTGTTTTTCATTTGTTAAGTGCTAATGTACTGTTCAGAAATGGAATTCATAGTGTATGTATGGAAGCAGGATAATCCTAAATTCCCAGAAATCATCTGGGAGCTAAGCAGAAGTCCAGGCCTCTAGGCATCTCCCAACACTTTATGCGGGAGCAAGTGGGATAAAGCCAAATAATCCATACAGCCCATCATCACACCTGCATTATTGGGGCTCACTTGCTTCTGCAAAAAGCCTGCTGCTTACAGGCTAAGCAGTCAAACTAGAAACACTAGGTTTGTAACTTTTCAGTGCAGAACCTCTACTTGTTCCTTAACTGTTTACATACTTACACAGTAAATGTATTTATAGATTGATCTGAGATTCTGAAAATATCATGCCTCAGAATCAGGCAGTATTACTCCATCCTACCAATGACCTGCTGACTAGGGAAGTTCAGGTTTTCCTTCCCAGTGCCCTTTACCCAAGTCCCCACCCCAAACCCACTTGTAGCACCAAACCTGTATCCCTTTTACCCACTTCATTAGGGAGTGGGGAACCAACTGTGTTCGATATCATGCAGATGACCAGGCTACTCTTCCTCAAGTCAAACAGATTAAAGCCAGAACATGTTCTCAAGTCTTCATTTCATTTAATGTCAATCCATGTCTGTACATAAAGAGGTATAGTGTGTACACCTCCAGGTGCTTTGGTTTCATCCCACAATCCAAAGATATGCTGGTGAGTTAACTGGTTTCTGGGAAAACTGGCCCTGATGCGAGTGTGGGCGTCTCTGTCTCTCTGACTATGTGTGCCCAGAGATGGACTGGCATCCCCATCAACTTATATCCCATCTAGTGCCCAATGCGTCCCAGGCTGGCTTGTAGGGCTGCCATGACCCTGAATTGGATAAGGAGTTGTTGAAAGCAATAATGGTAGTGTGATGACAAGGTTACAGCTTCTAATTTGGTATCTTACTAATTTTTATAAATTTTTCGTTTTTAAAATGACATTTGCTCATGTTTTGAGTTTTGATATATTACATATGATTTGCTATTTATTAAAGCAAACATTTTGTATTTATTTAAAATAACATTTACTGTACGACATTAATGACATTGGAACAGCTTCTATATAGTGCATTGCTTGTTTACACAGTACTTGTTACACAGAATATCAGTCTGACTTGTTAATGATCTGACCCTGGTTTCATTTAATTACAACTGATTATGGAAAACAGCTTACAATACATTCCAAAACTAAATATGCATTAGTTTTGTTCAGGTACAGTATTACATATCACTAACACGGATTTTAGAAACATTTTCCATAGAATCTGCAACCAGTAACATGCTCTACACCCATGCAGCTGATAATATAAAACTCTGCCTTCTAACTTGGCCCATCAATCTGCCTACACTTAGCTCACTCTTTAGAACCTTAGATTTTGTTCCATACAGCAGAAAGAGGGTTCCTCCCACTTGTTGCTTCTTTGTTGATTTAAAGTCGCTCTTAGACCACAGACCAATCTGGTTTATGTAGCTTTCTCCATAATGTGGTTGCACTGCTGATTGTCAGAAAAGCCCCTCTTATCACCAAAGACCACTGAAGCTGTGTGCCGCCAGTCAAAGTGACAAATTCAGGGGCAAAGGGGACCCCATTAAATCCATGACTCTTTTTTTAAAGAATAAACCGCAGATTTCATCCTGGGTCCCCCGTTTCCATTTGACAGCCACGTGGCAAACAAGCGAAGTCTAAGGCAAGCTGAGATCTGCATGGCCTGTCGTTACCACCCTCCTTCGATAGATCTTTAATTTGCAGGAAGGCAGCTTGAAACCACGGAGTTGCTCCCTCACAGGCAAAGCTCATAAAATTGCTGCCTTTTGGTAGCAGGCTAAGCTTCCCTAGTGTACACGAGTCCGTCTTTGATCCCCCTGCCAAGCTGACTTAGTGTGAGGGGAAGTGGAGAGAAAGTAAATCAGGGTAGAAAGAAAAATGCTACCCTGCTGAGTTAATACCTACTTCCATCACTGGGGAGGGGGGTATAGTACCTATTTCCATGTGGAAAAGAACTGACACCCTTATTAAATTTCTTTCATTTTCAAGAGCTTAACAGGGGAGATGCAGTCAGTACAAGTGATGCATGCCTTTACTGTACATTGTTGCCCAGGTCTCACTGCGAAAACAACCTGTTTTGTTATAACAGATGAAAACACGGCAGAAAAAGAAACTTAACTGCAAATTAAAGTTTTAATTTACTTAATTAACTCCTTAACTTGTTTCTCTCTAGCACATTTACTGTGCCTTGTAGTGGCATATCTCCAAAACATCTTTATCAGATGCAGAATTCCAAATTAGATTCCTAGTGCGAGCTGAAAAGGTTTTCCAAACCTTTATTAAAGGGTGTTGTCACATTTTCCTTGCCTTTCAAATTACTCAGGGTGCGACAAAGTCCAGAAAAGAGAAACGAACATTTCATAATAGGTTCATAAAAAAAATCCCACTGCAGATATGCACCTTTAGAAGAAGATACAGTATGAACATTTGTACATCATGTGGTTAAAGAGGAATATCTGTATGTAACTGCATCTTGAAATCTCCCATCTTCTTGAAGGGCTCCCATCAAATTTGAAGCTTTAAGGTGATACATTTCACATGGACTTCAGATCTTGGCCACAGAGGGCCTAGAAAAAATGTCCTAACTGAAAACATTGGTCCTTAAAACCAGGATAGGCATAAAATATAGTAACTAGTTATAATATATATTACTATTATTAGATAACTCATAAACTCATATGAGTTATAATACTAATTATAACTCATTTCAAAGTGCTCCAAGAGAGGTTTATGAAAAGTTTTGGTTGAAAAGTTTTTCAATTCATAAATCAATCTTGTGTTGTTAGGTGCTATAAAACCCTTTTCTGATATGAAAAGAAAAACAGTACATAGATCAGAATGTACTACTGTATGGTCAACACTGAATTTCAGGGGCTATCATTTGTTCCCAAAAAACCATGATGTATTATACATACATTTCACTGCAGACCAATTTTGCCAACATAAAAAAAGTTAAGAGAACATATGAAAATGAACATAAGGGCATATTTAAAGGGATTCCCACAAAAATCTTCAAATCATACGCCACGTACTGTGGTCTCGCATTTGTCCATATTTGTTTCAGGAAGAATGACATCTTGGTATGCCACAATTTCAGGGGTAAAGAAAGATTCATTGTTCAGTTTTGCAGTTTGGAGCTTACAGTCAAGTTTTGGACTTTTCCCAGCCTGTAAAAATTTTAAATTAGGCCTGAGC